CACAGTAGGCGGCCTGAGGTTATATTGCTAGCGAGGGCTGAGCTGGGATGCCCGGAAAAGCGGTGTAATTTCAGGACTGTGTTCTGAACTAAAATACTGCCCCACGGGACATCATCACCGCAGGGACACCAGCCTGACAATGGAGAGCCTAGGGGGTTCTTCAGTCAGGTCTACCTTGAGCAAATCTGAGCCACAGTTAACTCGGTTTGCAAAAGGAGAGTTGGATTCAGTCCTCAGTGTTTCCACCGACATTCTACAAGCATGAATTTCTTCCACCTCCTTTCTCTTCCACTTTCTGCCCTCTGGTGGAGGTGCTGCTGGAACTGTGAAATTCAAGTAGCTACATCAGTGGATTTGAGATAGCCAGTGTAGACAAGTGTCCCTCTCCCACTTCTCTACTGTATTGTGAGAATTAAAGCTGCTTGCACTGTTGGTGTAAAAAAAGAATTCTTTAAGCTTCCTTCCAGCAAAACAAAAACAAAAACAAAAAAACCCACCAACTAGCTCTAGTTACCAACAGCACCAGAATACGTGAAGTATTGTTAGCACGAGAGTAAACATCTATTTTTATATACTTTGTAACAAAGGTTTATAATGTAAGAAATCACAAAAATATGAGAAGTCTCATAACATATCCAGAGTACTTTATGCACAGTAATCTCCAATGACCTATTTGAATTATTTTTTAAAAAGAATTTGCCACATTTGCTTTTCAGCTTAAAGTGGCAGACATCAGCTAGTTTCTTAAAAACACTTTACAAGAAACATTTCTAGCCCTTTGAAATTTTTATGGTCTAGCATTTCGAGCAGAGATTCAACTAACTAGGTAATTTAAGAGAAAAAAAATACAAACCTTAAAGAGCTTTATGGAAAAAAATCAACTTAAAGGTAGTGAATATACTTCTGGAAAGGAAGATCTTACAGACCAAACTTTGGTTACATATATGTATTACAGACCTGTTTAGTGATTAGTACTACAAATGAAGGCAATTTGAGAACAAGAAAGAAGTATTTTGAAGAAGCAGCCAGCCTCCCAGGAATAATAGGCAAGCAGTGGCTAAGATAGATATGCTACCACACGGCTTATTTAGTTCACTCAACTAATACTAATAATTTAGGATTTGCTAGCCACCAGATGAACAAAATGAGTCCCTGCCCCCGCAGAACTTTCAGTCTAGTGGAATAATAATAAAAAAATGTACACATATATTCGCTATGGAAAGATACTTGAAAATAATGTGGGACTAGCTCTAAGGAATTTAGAATGTAACTTTTTTAGCTGAGATGTAAAGATGCACTTTGTTAAAAAAGCTTTTATTCATGAGAGAGAGAGAGAGACAGGGGCAGAGGGAGAAGCAGGCTCCATGCAGGGAGCCCGATGTGGGACTCGATCCCAGAACCCCGGGATCACATTCTGAGCCAAAGGCAGATGCTCAACCACTGAGCCACCCTGGTGTCCCAAGATGCAGACTTTTAAAAAATATTGAAGAGCAAGAAAGAGGCAAACTAGAAGTTGACCTGTGGCATGGAGGGGAGAGTTTATTTAGTTTAAAAGAAGAAAATAACATACCCGTATCTGCACGCTAAAATATCCTGCATATGTTAAAAGCAGTCCGTGTAGACACTCCATTTGCTGTGTATATTACCAGGACACAAATCCCCTCCTCTGATACACCACTTCATTTGGGAAGTAGTTTAGAAGAACTGGCCCAGAAAAAGTTCTCAGGGAATTTTATTTTTAGCATCCCCACACACGTCGTGCTGTTTCCCCCACCACCCGGGCCCCTTACTGCAATTTGTCCAAATGCCCCCACGTTTGGCCAGCACTTTGCCTGGTCTTCCCAGGGATAGTGCCCTCTCAGTGATAGTGACCACATGAGCAAACACTGGGGGGGTCTCAGTTCACAACAGATTTTCCTCCAGTTTATGAATCAATTTGTAACAGAGGTCTTCAAGTTATGAGGTTGTCGCATGTATCTATTATTATAGCTAAGATGTTCTAGACGCTATGTGCCAATTACTTTACAGGGTGACATCTATTTTTTTTTTTTATTCTTGAGACAAACCTGATTTCCTTTGTTGCAAAATGAATACATAGGCTGTGTGAGAATTTTAAAGATGTAAAGTGCTTTTAAAATAGCTGCAGAAAAAAAAATTAAAAAAATAAAATAGCTGCAGATAGGGACGCCTGGGTGGCTCAGCGGTTGAGCATTTGCCTTTTGCTCAGACTGTGATCTGAGCCTGGGATTGAGCCTCACATTGGGCTCCCTGCAGGAGCCTCTGCCTATGTCTCTGCCTCTCTGTGTCTCTCATGAATAAATAAACTCTTTAAAAAAAAAACGGCCACAGATACATAATAATAGCTAATGTTAATTATCACTATTTTAGAAGAGGAAACTGAGGCTTAACAGAAGTTCAGTAATTGCCTGAGAGATTTCATGACTGGGAAGTGGCGGGACCAGAATTGGAGCCGAGCAATCTGGAACCAGAATGACCTGTTGACCCCCACCTTCTGCAGAATAGTAAGACAGTAATGAAAAATGCCCAAGGAGTTTATAGCCTAGAGTCACTTTATTCATTCATTCAACACTGAGCATTATAGTGGGTAGAACACTGTCCTCCCCTCTATCCCCCAAATGTCATGTCCCTTTGGAACCTGAGAATGTCATCTTCCTCATTTGGAAATGGGGGCTTTGTAGATGTAAGTAGTTAAAGTGAGATTATATACTGGCTTAGGGTGGACCCTAAATAGAGTGTAGTGTCCTTACAGGAGACAGAAAAGACCACAGACACAGAGAAAAAGGTCATGTGGAGATGGAGGCGGGACTGGAGAGATGAGGTCTACAGGGCCAGGACAAGCCACGGACTGATGCTCACACCCGGAAGCCTTTGGCTTGTGAGAGGCATGGGACAGTCTCCAGTCTCTAGAAGGCACCAATCCCACGGTCGCTTTGGTTTTGGACTTCTGGCCTCCTGCACTGTGATAAAATACATTTTTGTTGTTTCAGCCATTCTATTTGCAGTAATTTGCCACGGTAGCCCATGAAAACTGACAGCAGCATCTACTACGTGGCTAGGCATGCCCCAGCCCAGGGCTAAGGCAGTAAACAAAACCGCACTCCTGCCCTCGCGGCCTATGCTCTAGTAGGGAGAGGAGGCGATAAACAGACACATAGGACACTGACCCGTACTGTTTGGTGCTACGAGAAAAAAAATACTGGAAGACGGAGGATGGCCAGGGGATGGTGAAAGGGGACTGGCTCTCTACAGGTGCTTGAACTCCAGTGAATCCGGACTGTGGAGTTCCAGGCTGGAGGGGGTAATTCACAGGAACACACACATACATGCCTCCACATTAACTGAAAAGGAAACTTAGCAACGGGGGAGGCACCACAAATAAGAGACCTAAACTTCCTCAACAGACCAAGATTCTGTAATACATGACAATGGTTCTCCAGGTGGATACCTGGTCTCTTGTCCCTGAAGGGTCTCTGGAGAGCTGAGGGGCTCCCAGCTTCTCCTGCCCCCCTCCCTGCCCCCAAATTCACATCTCTTCTAGGAGGTGCTTCTTCCCTCTGTGCAGCTCACCAACATATGAGTAGACTGGCCCAGGGTCTAATCACTGTCACTCAATACAGGGGACAACTTCTGCAGACCAGAGAGGAGACTCAGATGCCTGACATCGACTCGGGCTCTGGGGCTTAAACACCTGCCTCACCTTCTAACACCCAAGGATGGGCAAATGTGACAGCCGGAGGAGTCACCTTGGTCATCTGAAATAACATGCACTGCCCAAAGGGCTTTAGGTCATCTTGGAACATTACCACAGATATTGATCTGTGTTTAAAATTTTTAACATTCATATAGCCATGAAGTTCAAGCGCCAGACTTCTTTGCAGAAAGCAAAGGTCTGCAATGTTTTGCTTCAGTAAAGTTCCTCTGGCAATTTCAGCAAAGATTATACCAATTTTTTGAGGTTATCTGAATTTAATTTGGGACATGAAGAGCGAAAGTAACTGAAATACAAACACCAGGTGCTGACCAATCCCTAAAAGTTGAAGCTGAAAAACTAGAAACTTCAACATAAACATTCCACAAATTTCAAATAGTAAGCTCATCCAACTCTTTCAATGATGCAAAGTAAGTAGGAGGAAAAGGCCATCACAGACACAGTTTTATCTGTGTGGTTTCCTAGCGGCTATTTGGTAACTTTTCCAGTCCTTCTCTAATTGGTTCAGATTGGAGCAAAAAAGGCCAAAATGTATTGATTTATTTCCCTCAGAATAAATTCGCACATTTAGGCCAAACCGAACTTCCTTTTGAACTGATTTCCCCTATCCTGCTCATTCACTCCTCTTCCCCTCCTCACAGCTGTCTGCTCATTCTGGAGGCCAGCACTCATCCAAGGGCCATGGGGAACTCCGGGCATCACAGCACCTCCAGCCCGGGCTGCCTCCCAACCCAGCTCCCTCCCCTGCCCCCTCCAGTCCTGTCTCCGGGCAGCCAGTCACCTTAACAACAGCTGTTTCCTACTTACAACCTTCCCAGGCTGCCCACTGTGACTGGAATACCACCCCCGCCCCCCAAGTCCTTGCCAAGGTCTCTTGGGCTCAGGGACTGGGGACTTGCTACCCTCCCTCCCTCATGGACTTTTCTCTCAGATCTTCAAATGGAGGTTTTTCCGGCCACAGCTCCAAGGTCCCCGGCCACAGCTCCAAGGTCCCCATCTCAGCGGGGACGCCCCCCAATCTTAAGCAGCTAGTGACCTTTCACCTCCTTTTTCATCACCTCCTGTGCCATTTCATTTTTTAACACACGTGAAAGGTGAAAGAATGCCTGTTTTACTGTGTATCTATTTCCTGTCTGCCCTCTTCCGCTCCTTAGCAGCTCCCCAAGGGAACTACAAAGCACCTATCGCACAGGAAATGTATCTGTTGATTAAATAAATAAACAAACAAACAGGTGTGTGACTTTAGGTAAAATTAATGAGGTAAATAAAAAATGGTAAACAGCTTAATTTATTATTTGTTCAATCAATCTCCTTCCTCTGCTTACTAAATTCCTCCCCACAAATTAGAAAGAAAACCAGCCAGAACAGAAGCCCAACAAACGGATAGGAAACAGGCTTCAGGCTTGTTTATTAGGCCGAGATTCTGAGACACATGAAAATAGCTCCTAGGTAGGTAGACACCTAGTTGTTCATAGTCTTTAATATTCATTTGAGATTGAGGAAATGACTTGCATGTAGCAGCTCTAATTTAGAGCTTCCGAAACATCAACCCAGGTATTCTAACATTGAGAAAGGTAAAAAAGAAACAAAACCTAAAGTCAAAACACAAATACTATTATGAAAGGCATGACTGCCCTTTTGTTTAGGACACCTAGCTAACACTAGATGAACAGAACATTAAAAAAATTTTGCATTAAAGTCAGCAAAGTTTAAAGTCCTCCTTTGTACTTCGGTTTAATACATACTCTTATGCTTTTTAGTATCAATAACTATGTTTTACATCAAGTACTAGAGATTTTTTACAATGATACTAATACCTAGCCTAAAATTATAGGCTCCTGAATATTTTAGATAATATTAATATTCTTTTTTTAATAGTAAATATTCTAGGTTACAAATTTGGTATGAAAAATTTTAATGAAAACATTAATCATACAAAAATTAAATAGCAAAACCATTTAAAATGGCAATTCAAACAGATTTGGCTTACTGATATTTCTCTATCAGCTTGTTTCATAAGAACTGATTATTTCCAGCTGAAATCTACTTATAGGATCATGGTAAGAAGACATGAGAATAACTATATAAAGCTCATAAGCCCTGTGCCCAGCATCTATTGCTCATAAATACCAGTTTTTCTTGTATTATTATTTGGAAAAGACACACGTTTTACAAAACATGCCAAACTTCAGTTAAATGCTTCTTACACAAGAAATAGCCATATGTGGGGAATCTAACCTCTCATTTAAAAAAAAAACAATTATATATTTTCCTCTAAGGACCCACTACCTAAAAATTTATTTTAGTAACTGATAAAAACTTCTCACTAATAAACCAATTTCCGGAATCTAATTATATAGCTTCACGTTACAATTTAAGAGGTCTTTTAGAGGATTTTTTTTTTTTTAAGTACAAAGTTACATGATCAGGAAACATGATCAAGAAAAGTACCTTGTAATAAGTAACCAAAACATTGTGACATATTTCTTTTACTGCATATATGGCTCAGTTTCATCTTAATTTTGCAAAACAAAGTTGGTTTGAAACAGTAAATGAAACAACGATGTTAACACAGATGTTAACACAACGAAGCACATTGAACAACATGTTACCCTGCCACTGGCTATCCCTTATGAGATATTTACAATTTCAGTCATGCTTTTACTATTAAACAATGGTATTTTGCCACTTCTAGTGTGCTAAGATAAAGCTTAACAGTCTGTCCTTCTAACAACAGCTGGAAGAGAATACAGAGATGAATGGGAATATGTATGTTCTACAGAATATACTTCCTAATATTCCAGAGTGAACAACTTATCTAAACGCAATCTGAGGTATATTAACAGATCAATAATTTTTAAGCCACATCATGGGCTATGTACCATGCAAACACTAAAACCACAACTGCACCCGCTGGAAGGAGATAGTATTTGTATTTCTGCCACAATGTTAGCTCAATTGCCACTTCGTCTCTCTTCCTGTTCTTCTTCCGACGACCTTTCAGTCTATTTTCAAAAGCCTCCAGTTCGGCCTAAATCAACAATCAAAACAGCGTCATTTATATTAAATTCATTGTTGAAATGGAGAACAAGATCAAAATACATTAAAAACAGTCAAACTTGAGAACTGACACGCTGACTTGGCATTTTCCACCTCGATGAATATAAAGCAGTTTGCCAAATGTTTTAATAGAAATGGTATATATAATAAATATATTGATTTGCTTTTAAAAAAAAAACTCTCTCCATTTATGGACTGAATTCACCAAATTCAGAGTTTGGGTAAGCAGAAAGGGAAACAGGGAGTAACGAAGATCATTTCAGACTGTAAGGTTGACTTTGACACTATTTATTTATTTATTTTATTTAGTTTTTTTAAAGATTTATTTGAGAGAGTGGATGAGAGGGGGTGGGGGATAAAGGAGCAGAGGGGAGGGAGAAGAGACTTCCCACTGAGCAGGGAGCCCCTACAACTACAGACTAAGGGACTGGATCTCAGGAGCCTAAGATCAGGACCTGAGCAGAAGGTAGACGCTCAACTGACTGAGCCTTCCAGGTGCCCCTGGCACTATTTAAATACAGAAACATCTGATTAAATCAAGGTGCCCTAAATATTTATTCTTCAACATCATTAATCTGTTGGGTTTCTATAATATACAACTTCTAGCAAGTTCCAAGAGATGCCCAGTGAGAGTAAAAAATACCTAAAATTCTAATTTTTTATAATGCTGATAATAAACATTACTAGCTTGTATGAAAGAAATTTAAGTGAATTGGGGAAAAAAACTGCCAGATTACCACATATATTTAAGAATAGAGTAGAAATTCAAGGGAAAAATGCTTCATGTTTTAAATCAAAATGACAATTTTAGAAAGTAGAATTATATAAAAACTGGTTCTAAAAAAGGGTAACTGGATGATACTCATTATAAAATGTGGATTTTTAATCTACTGTTAAGAACTTAATCTTATAAACAATAATATAACATGATACACTATGGTGAACCGTAACTAAAACAGGATAGTCATCAACTAAAATATATATCTAATATCCACGCAAGATTCTATAATTGTTTATTTAACAGAAGGAAATATAAATTAACCCTTGAGCAATGTAGAGGGCCAGGGATGCTGACTCCACACAGAGACAAAAATCCACATAGAACTTTTGACTCCCCAAAAAGTTAACTACCAATAGCCTACTATTGACTGGAAGGTTTACCAGTAACAGTTGATTAACACATATTTTGTATGTTGTATTTGTCATACACTGTATTCTTCCAATAAAGTAAGCTAGAGAAAAGAAAACCATAAGGAAGAGAAAATACACTTATAGGACTGTATTGTAGGTACTGAAAAGAAGTGACATATTAAGTGGATCCTTGCAGTTTAAACTGATTAAACCTGTGTTGTTCAAGAGTCAACTGTACAAACTTCAGTTAACGTATCTATTACTTTGCCTATAAAACACATTTGAAGATGCCCTACTCCTACACTTAACACAGTAGCATTTGTCAATGAACCAAAATGTCAGAATATTCTCAGGTTGTTGTTGAAATGGAGAAGATCAAAATACATCAAACAGCCAAACTTGAGAACTGACCCAGTAAAATAACTGATGCTTTAATAATGACCCATAGTCATCATTTACAGTTTAAATTATGTTCTATACACACTATTTAAAAGGTCAGTGAATAGGAAATATATTTAAGATTTCCAATTAAATGGTTTATAGAAAGGGGAAATAGGTTCACCCTGAACGATTCCTAGTAAGTTAACCTCCCCAGGATTCCTGTCAATTCATGTTCTAGTGTAATAGCTCTGATAACTCATTTTGAAATGTTAGGCAAATCAACTTTATAGAACCATATAATATCAGAGGTCATTTCTGCCCACCTTTTTGCTACCTAAATTATTTCTAAAGTCTTCCACTGTAGTCAAATTTTAATTTCCTCATTCAAAAGGTGGCAGTTTGCACATAATATACCCTTATACCCTTTCTGTTAAGCATAAGCATCTCAAAATGCAACATGACAAATAATTATATGTCACTATTAGAAAGTCAAACCACTCTTTGGAGTATATAATCAATATGGTATTTTAAGCAAACAAGATACCAGGAATGTAGCTGTTATCTGCTATACAGCAAAGTACAGATAATAACCCTGCATTTAGGAATTTAGAGGGGAAATAAGGCAATGAATTGTGAAAGCAAGTGACTGGTCAGTAAACAACACTCATTTTTATACTTAACTCTGTCATCTACAACTCAGCAAAACAGAACTCAGAATACTTTGAGGTGAGTGATGACATAAGCTCCTGGCAAGGAAGTAAATTTGGGAATATACAAAATATCTGAGAATATACAAGATTTGTGCCTCTTCAGAGGTTCAGTATACTTGCCCTGAAGTGAATGAGTAGAATTTTTGTTTTGTAGGACCATATTATTTTCAGTCTAGAGAACAGTTGACCAGCTCCTGGTTTGTATGTGGGAATACACCATGTGTTTGCATAAAAACTAACAATGAGGGCAGCTTGGGTGGCTCAGCAGTTTAGCACCTCGGGTCATGATCCTGGAGTCCCAGAATCGAGTCCCATGTTGGGCTCCCCGCAGGCAGCCTGCTTCTCCCTCTGCCTGTGTCTCTGCCTCTCTCTCTCTCTCTCATGAATAAATAAAATTTTAAAAAAATACAAAGAGACATAAATCTAGGTATTTTTTTAGTTACCTGTTGTCTTCGTTTTTCCTCTTCAAGAGCAGCTTTGGCTTCTGCTTCTTTTATCTGTTTATAGACATTTAAAAATAAATTAACATTGTAATCATCAAATTTTATGTAGAATTTTAACATCTTCCACTCAGGATCCACTAACCCGTAACAACTTTCGGTAACTTTATATTGGAAATTAGAGACATGTAAATGTTATATTGAGAAGCGTTACCAAGGTTCTAATAGATTGTGCGGTGAGGGGAGGGTCAGTATTATACTGTATATAAACATACATACAGCTTAACAACTCTAATAGATATTAGATCACAATTCGAGGAGTTACAAAACTGTAAAATGAAATATTGTTAAAACTGTATTTTTTCTCTTGAGATACCATACTAAGTCTCTAATGAATTATTAAATAAACTACTCTTGTTCTAGAGTTGAAATGGACCATTTTCCATAAATGCCCTCTTGGGAAGGGAATCCTGTGTGTCAAGCAACATCAAGAGTTTATTCACTGGACTGATGGCGGGAAATAGTGACACTAGAGGTAACGCAAACAACAAAGAATTCCAAAACCTTATTTTGTATTATTTTAACCTAACTTTCAGGAGGCTTATAGTAACATAAAGGTGAAAACTATGTTCTGGAACACACATGCTACTGCTACTGAGGAGAGAAAAAAAATCTAGTACATACTAAAGAGTACACCTGGGAATCTTAAATAGGCCTATAAAACTAGGCTTTATTACAAAAGCAAAAAAGGTAAGCTTTTGAATTGTTTGTAATAAGCACATAAAGTAATGTACAAAATAAACAGGAAAAGGTCATTAATTAGCACGTTAAAAATGATGTTTGGGGCACCTGGGTGGCTCAGTAGGTTAAGCATCTGACTCTTGATTTTGGCTCAAATCATGTTCTCAAGGTCATGGGATGGAGCCCTGGGTCAGGCTCTGTGCTCAGTGGGAAGTCTGCTTGCGATTCTCTCTCTCTCCATCTGCCCCTCCCCCTGCCAACCCTGTGTGGCTCATTTGCACTCTCTCTAAAATAAATAAATCTTTTTTTAAAAAATTACATTTAACATGATATTACCTCAGATGCTTTCCGCTTCATTTCCTTGCATGTTGTGTCACATTCTATTGAAATCTGATTTTCACGTACTTTGTTGCATTGCAATTCCTACAAATAACATTTTTTTTTAAATTTTGATTTTAAAAGATTTCTCCCTCAAAGTCCTAACTCTATGCTATGAAGAAAGCAAAGTATCTCTGATAGCTTAAGGTTATACATATTATTTAAAAGCCATGTTCATGAATATTTAATGATGATACGGTTACAAGCATTAAATATCTTGATTCTAAGTGATCATTCCTTTATTTCCTCCTAACTAGAAAAAAGTGAATACCATAAAATTCAAAGCATCTATTTAGTAATTATTTACTGAGAGCCACTATCAACTTAGCTTCAATTTCCTTTTCATTATTTTTGTGCTATGAAAAAATGCTCCAGGGTAGTGCCAACCAATGCAGCTTTCTGAGACAATAAAAATGTTCTACATCTGTGCTATCCAATGAAGTAACACTAAATACATATGGCTACTGAAAACTCAAAATGTGGCCAGCAAAATCAAGGAACTGATGGTTACTACTATTTGATGTTGATTCATTAAAATTCAAATTTAAATAGCCATAAGGGTGCCAACAGGTACATGCAAATGTGTTCATCATTACTCACCAGAAAAATGCAAATCTAAACCACAATGACATAATCAACCCACAACTGTTAGAATAACTACAATTGAAAAGCCAACAGATAACAAGTGTTGATAAGACTACATGAAAAAAAAAAAAAGAAAGAAACCTTGTACAGTGTTGGTGGAAATGTAAATTGGTATTGCCAGTAAGACAAACAGTACAGAGTCGTCTTTAAAAAAAAACTTCAAATAGATCTAGTATAGATTCTAGCAGTCTTACTTCCAGATATATATCCAGGAAATGAAGAGAGTAACTAAAAGATACATGTGCTCCATTGTTCATTGCATCATCATTCACAATAGCCAAGATATGGAAACAAGTATGTATCCATCAATGGATAAAGAGATGAAGAAAATGCGATCTGCCCACCTATCTACCTATAATGGAATATTATTCGGCCATAAAAAAGAAGTCCTGTCATTTAGAGAACATGGATGAATATGGAGACAATCAGGCTAAGTAAAATAAATCAGATACAGACAAATATTGTATGATCATACTAATGTGTGGAATCTAAAAAATTAGAACTTAGAAAAGCTGAGAAGGGATTGGAGATTGCCAGGGGCTAGAGCTACATGAAATGTGGAGAAGTTGGTCACTAGGTACAATTTTCATTGATAAGGTAAGTATGTTTTGTGGAATCTAATAATATATAGCATGCATGACATAGTTAATAATACTGTATTACATACTTTAAATTTGCTGAGAGTAGAATGTGCTCTCACCACAAAGAAGTGGTAACCATTAGGTAAATGTTACCTTGATTACTGTAATCATTTCACAGTGTGTATGTATAGACAATCACCATGTGCGCATCTTAAATATATACAATTTTTGTCAATTGTGCATCAGTAAAGCTAAAAACTATTCAAATAAATAAACAGCCATATGTGGTTAATGGCTACAAACTCATGCAGTTCGCAGAATTTTCTGGAGAGCTACAAATTTTCCTCTCAACCATTTAATCTTTTTTTTTTAAGTTTTAAAATTTTGAAAATTGGTCTAAAGCTTATGTTTGCACTTCAATGCCTAAGGAGGCATTTATTGAAACAATAAAAAACTAACCTACTCTTTTCTTGATTATGTGACATCAATCCTATAATCAATTTGTGAACTACTCATAAAATAAGTGAGCCTTATATTAAAGTCCTAGAATTTGCTTTTGTAGATGTTTTATCTACCTTTTCTTGCTGCCAGATACTACTTTTGCTTTATTTGTATCAATTTCTCCTTTCTTACTATACTCTCAGATACTAATTTTTTTAGTTCAAATTTACCAAAGTTAAGATATGAGATCATCAAATCCTACGAACAAAATACATATAATTTAGTGAAAACACTTTATAGCATGGAATTTTATTACTTAGTTTTTTCCCCCCTTAAGTTCTTCATTTTGGGTTGAGGTTGTGATAAACAGTCTTCTAAGGATAGTCCAAAGGAAAAATAACAAATACAAACTTGAAAGACAAAAATAAATATTGCATTTGCAGATGTTAAGTCTGTCAAGCCTGGAGAGGGATCCTACCCTACCTTTCCTCATTCAAAGGGTACTTACAGAGCACCTATTACATGCCAAGCGCTGTGTTAGAGACAGGGGACACAATAAGAAAAATAATGTAAAAATATGGTAAGTAGCGAACTAATATTAATAGCAGCTGTTATTTATTAAACATAATAATCACTGTGCTAAATGCTATATAAGCATTACCTCTTTCATTCCTTTCAATAAATCTATGTATAAACTCTATTTTCCTGATGAGAAAACAAGGTTACAGACATCCCTAGAATCACAAAGCTTTTAGTCATGAGCCTAGAATAAAGAAAACCAAGGAGAAACAGCATCCAAGTCTTCCCAAGGGAGTCAGGGGAAGGAAGAGGTTCCAAACAAGGAAATACTTGCACTGAATACTAGCAGGATTGTAGTAAACAGAGCAGGGAAAAAAACTTTGCATTTTACAGAAAAGAAAGAATGTCTCTATCACCACGGATTAAACGAAGTATAACATATACATTAGGGCATGTAAGTAACAGATTCCCGGAGAAAACCACTAGAGGATGGGAGTGGAGACAAGCAGGCAAAGAAAGGTACCACCGCAGATTCCCTGGAATGTCAACTCTATATATGCATACACATTTCTTTTAAATGCATATTTTTTCCCATAAGTGAGGAAGAACCATTGAAGGACTTAGATTGGGAAGTATTATGCTCGGAGGCAAGGAAATCTGTTCTGAAGCTGTTATCGGAGTCCAAGAATGAGCTGTGGCCAAAGTTCTCTAGCAGGTGGAGAACTGTGCTTGGACAGTAACATGAAATGAGAGAAAACCTGAAAGACAGCCGGATCACAAGCATTGATAAGCATTGACTAAACATTGATTTTCATATACTGATGGTCCAACTTAAATATCTAAAACCTAGGGATTCAACTCCAGAGGAGGTAAGGCCTATACATTTAAATTCAGAAGTTACATACCCCAGGAAGTAATAATAGGAGCTGTGAAAATGAATGAAAAGCAAAGATCCTCAAGAAAAGCAAAAGCCTCTCAATAAATACTTGTTGGATGGATGAATACAAGAATGAATTCAAAGAAAAGAAAAGATGAGCTTTAGGGGATGACTGTTAAGAACATGAAGAAAAAAGGGAGTTACAATTTAACAAAGATAGCAAAAACCAGAGGTCAACAGTGTGAACAGGGAAGCCAAGGGAAAGGACTGAAAACAAGACCACGCAGCTACCGACACTGGAGATCAGTGAGACTCTTCCCTCGTAAGCTTAGCTTAGCTCAACAGTGTCCACTTTGTGTCCATCGAGCTTTCTAAATCGTTAGTTTTCCCTTTAATAAACTTCTGTTACCACAATTTTATCTTAAAATGAATTTTCTCCAAATTGGTTATTTTATAAGGCTATGCATGTGAAATCTAAGACTATGTTTTCACAACTGGATCCTGATGGCAAAAAGTGTTGCATAAACATGAGCAACAAAGGTTAATTCCAGACCATTTCTTAAAACTACGAAACTCACTTTATTACTCACATTGTGTTCCTTGTACAAAGACCTCAAATCTAGAGCATATTGATTCTATCCAAAAAAAGGGCATTGAACTTAAAGTTCTTTTATGAATAAATTACAGAAAACTAAATTGTCAAACAAAACTGATTTTTAAAATAAGTATTTACAGATAGATGGGCTAACAAAATGATTCTAAAAAATAAGACCTTAAAATCAAAAGGCAAAAAGCCAAAGAGCTACCAAAACACAGAGCAGAAAAAAATTTTTTTACATAAAACAGTATTTTCAATAACTTAAAATATTTACCTTTTTAATTCTTTTACAAGGACATCTAAGTTTTACCTTCTGGTTGCAATTAAAGGGACATTCACCAGGATGACACATTTCTTTGCATCTGTGACCACAAGGAAGCTAAAATAAAACCAAAATAAGGCAATTACATATTTACATTCTAGTCAGACTCTGCAAACTCCCCTTCCTCCAACAACCATTTTAAGAGAGAGTCTATTACGACGGGGTTAATCAACCCTGGATACTCATCTAATTTTTCAACTTCGTTCCTTTAGATATAAATTATTTTAATTACGCAGAAGTGTTCAATACTCTCCCCAGTTCCACTCCAAGAATGTATCTTACATCGATCGTTATTATGGCTAGTTACAGCCACGTGACTACATTCTGGCTAACGGAATGTAAGCATACGTATTTTGGTGCCTTGATGCATTTCAAGAGCACACATCCATGTTCTTCCCTTCCCAATGTGCTTTACACGATGACATTTAGAGCAATAATGGAAACCACATATCAAAGAGAAGCGGAGCTGCCTAGCATACTTGGGTTCCTGGATGAATACATGGAGCCCAGTGCCAATGCCTCTACCGTCCCTGTAGGGTTATATGAGAAAGAAAGAAACCTTCCTTGTCCCCAAGGCACTGTACTGTAATACAACTGCTTAGCCTTTTACTCTAAATCACTTCTCTTTGCCACTATATATCAAAACACATAGGCACCCAACCAACTCAGGAATTGCCATGATGTCTATGTGCTCCTTCTCTTTATTTACTATCTTCTTATCCCAGTCAAGCTTTCAGATGAAACATTCTAACCTCCTTTGTATTCAAATCTTATCCAAACTTCAAGAAACGGCTTAAATCACCACAGAAGCATGATAGGAGTTTGCCTATACTTGAACAAATAATAGTAATTATATAAGAAATCTATTTCTAAACTATTGTGACATTGTTTGTGTTGTCTTAAACTTAAAAAAAATATTTAGACACTTCACAAATGTCTGTCTCTCCGAGCAGACTGTGCATAAAAGACACTGCTGTTTAGTGGTTAAATTCCAAAGTCAGGCTGCCTGGAACTGAAGCCCAGCTTCCCTGTTTACCAACTGTGAAACCATGGGCAAGCCCCCTAATTTTTCTGTGCCTCACATTTAAAACTGGGAAGAATGACAGGATTTTGTAAAGCTGTCATGAGGATTAATTGTGCTCAAGTTAGCTATTAAAATAAAAAGTATTATTATTATTGTTGTTGTTAGTTGAGGGCAATGGTCTTCTGTGGTCTTTGTGCCTCTTATACTCATTAACAAAGACATTTTACAAATAGTGGACACCTTAATACACATCTGAGTTTCTCCAACTTCTGATCTTTATGATTCACCAGACTAATCCCTCCATGCTATTTACTCACTTTTAAAAATTCACCAGTTTTTTTTTCCATTGCCTTTAGTGTCACTCTAATGAACAACAAGCTTGCTTGTTCTTTCATTTTCTAGCTGAGACATCCATACAAAACTGAATTTGGCTCAGTCACACTACATCTTCATCCATCCCATCACAGGGCTGTGTTCCTCAAATGAGCTCCACACGAGCATCCCTGGACCATTTCAGTTTTGTCTCTCTCTACACCTAACTGTAGGCACTGAACATTGCTCGATGAGATCAATATTTATTCACTGTCAAGTACCTCCTCACAGGGGTAAAGTCTTTGTCTCCTCAACTTCATTCCCACCTTCATTCCTGCCAGTGCCTCTAGTCTAACTTCACAAAGAAGACAAACGTTTGGCATCAGCGGACCACCTAGCCTCTCTTCTTCTCAAAACATATCTCTGTAGCCTCTTGTTCGTGCTTCAGTCTATGAGGTAATTACATCGGTCATCTTTCTCTACAAGAATCTAAGCACTCTAACTTTCAATCAATAATTCTAAAGGGGAAAGTGAATAGGGAAGCCTGTCAGAATCAGTAAAGATCTCTCTGAAATTACACAGAATCATGCTATTGTGTTTTTTCAATATGTTGGGGGTTGATGAAAAGCTAAAAACCACCGGTCTGGATGTTAAATCTTTCTGTCTCCTCAAAGACCACATGGTCACTTCACAATTTCACTACCATCTTGAAAGTCTCTCATCTCCTTTAAGTCTTCTGCCTTCAAAATGAATCTCTTTTCTCTAAATACTGTATTTGATCCTGTTCCCAAAAGTCATAACTTGGGATGGCTACCTGGCTCATCACAATTCTCCCATGGCCATGACTATGCTATCCATTCCAGTTTCCTGTCTGTTGCTGCCTATGCTAAGGGAGCCCCTTGATGTAGGGGGGGCCAATCGGATTTTCTCTCCTGGTAATCTGAAAACTAAAAAACGAAAAGGTGGTATTTTCAACAGTCATCTCACTACAGAGCCCCCAAGCTCCTGCTGGGAAACCCCCGCGGGCTGCCCAGATCCTGCCCTTCCCGAAGTTTGCTATACAGCATTTCCTTCAGGATCTATAAACTGGTCCCCAATAGCCTCCAAATATACCTTTGGTTGTGGTAAGTTAACCAAACTGATAACTATAGCTTGCAAGAAAAAATGAAGCTCATCCAGAAGTCCACTGTGCTGGTATCCAATATATGTCCCACAGACAAAAGTAATGCCGTTAACCCTGAAAAAGTATTTAAAATCACTAATAATCAGGAAAATTTCAATTAAAATCACAAGATGCCACAAGACTGGCAAAAATTTAAAACTCTGACAATACCAAGTGCTGACAAGGATATGTCACAACAGAAACTTTAAAATACTGGTGGTTGGGATCCCTGGGTGGCGCAGCGGTTTAGCGCCTGCCTTTGGCCCAGGGCGTGATCCTGGAGACCCGGGATCGAATCCCACGTCGGGCTCCCGGTGCATGGAGCCTGCTTCTCCCTCTGCCTATGTCTCTGCCTCTCTCTCTCTCTCTCTCTCTGTGACTATCATAAAAAAAAAAAATAAATTAAAAAAAAAATAAAATACTGGTGGTAAATTAGAAAATTTACTGGTAATAAATAATGCAACTATTTTGGAAACCAATATGACATCAAGTTGAAATTATACACTCCCTATGACCAACTGGAGTGTATAATTGGCACTCCCTTAGCACTACAATATGCCTAGATAGATCTGTACACACATATATTAAAAGGCACAAACAAGAATGTTCATAGCAAGGGCAGCCCGGGTGGCTCAGTGGTTTAGCGCTGCCTTCAGCCCAGGGCGTGATCCTGGAGAACCGGGATCGAGTCCCACGTCGGGCTCCTGCATGGAGCCTGCTTCTCCCTCTGCCTGTGTGTCTCTGACGCCCACTTCTCTCTCTCTCTCTCTGTCTGTCTCTCATGAATAAATAAAATCTTAAAAAAAAAAAAAGAATATTCATAGCAGTATTTTGGAATTGGAAACAAACACAAATTGGAAACTCAAATATCTACCCACAGTAAAGCAAACACAATGAGCCATAGTATACTCATACAATGGGAAAAAGACTACAGCCACGTGCAATAAACATGACAAACATAACACAGAGCAATAGAGTTCATAGTTTTGAACTTCTAATATAAAATTAAGCAAACAATATTGTTTCCAGATATACATATAGGTAGTAAAACTATAAATAAAAGAAATGAAAGGATTACTATAAAAGGCAGATGGAAGTAACATACAGGATAGAAGGGAGAATCCATAACCAGACAGGGACTTTGCAGACTTCTGAGATGCAGCAATACTCTATTTTTTGACCTGGATGGAGTTATATGGTGTTGGCTTTTTAACTATTTGTTAAAACTGTCCATATATGTTATGTACTTTTGAGTAGGTAGTAATATCAATGTTTAAAAAACAAGATGTGCGAGTATCTGTGATCTCAAAAGCCAGCTTATATTCTGAAAGAGCTGAAAAGCAGCTCCAAAGGAAGCTGATTACTGGAGGGTATTATGCTGAGTGAAGTAAGTCAATCGGAGAAGGACAAACAGTGTATGTTCTCATTCATTTGGGGAATATGAAGAATAGTGAAAGGGAATATAAGGGAAGGGAGAAGAAATGTGTGGGAAATATCAGAAAGGGAGACAGAACATAAAGACTCCTAACTCTGGGAAACGAACTAGGGGTGGTGGAAGGGGAGGAGGGCGGGGGGTGGGGGTGAATGGGTGATGGGCACTGAGGGGACACTTGACGGGATGAGCACTGGGTGTTATTCTGTATGTTGGTAAATTGAACACCAATAAAAATTATTTAAAAAAAAAAAAAGCATTATAGGGCAGCCTGGGTGGCTCAGTGGTTTAGTGCCGCTTTTGGCCCGGGGCCTGATCCTGGAGACCCAGGATTGAGTTGCATGTCAGGCTCCCTGCATGGAGCCTGCTTCTCCCTCTGCCTGTGTCTCTGCCTCTCTCTCTCTGTGTCTCTCGTGAATAAATAAAATCTTTATAAAAAAAAAGCATTACATACTATGATTGTATCTTCATTACAGACGTCACACCAAAAAATAGAGGTTTTTCTAAAATATCCAACCTTGATATTAATTTAAAGACGAGATGTCCCACTCTTTCCACTCAATGTGGGATGGTTTTCTTCTACTCTACTCAGCCCTTAATATCTTTCTAACACTCGCATATGTCATTTCAAATACCTTACCAATAACCAATACAGTCTAGTCTAGATGTTCCATTTTAATACCAACAATTTAAAAAGCTCTTTAAAAATAATCAAAGAAAGCTTGCAAAACAATACTGTTTTATGGATAAATACCCATATCATCATCACCATAGCTAGCACATATATGGCACTTACCATATACTGTTAACTCATTAATACTCAACACTCAGAAGCAAGTGGCATTATTGCCCCCATTTTATATACAAACAATTTGAGTTAAGAGACATTAAATAATTTGCTCAAGTAAAAAGTAGAAAAACTTCACAGTGATGATAAAACCAAATTCAGAAATAATTTTTAAAAGTAGAATTGTATATGTGGGGCGCAGTTCTTCATGGTATCTTTATATTTTCTTTTAGTTAAATTCAAACCACTCAGAAGATATAGAGTGGAGTAGCTCAGAGAAGCAGTGGAGCTAGGAGGATGCCAATACCATTCCCACAGTTCAGTTTCATTCACATTCAATAAACATTTACCAACTGCCTAATGTGTACAAAACAGGGAACAAAGAACTGGATACAGGGACAAATATGACATAGTCCCTATCCCCAAGAAATCTATAGTATAGGGAACGGGAGGAGAAAGTAAACAAGAATTTGTCAGTACATCAGAATTTATCATAATCCCATACTTTAATTCCAAGTATAAGATATCTACTGCAGATTCAAAGTAACAGAGTTCTTGGTTGATCCTAAGTATGACTTGATTCTACGGCTTAGTATCAAACTGTGATGCAGGACCAACAATATCACTGTTATATATAAGCTTATTAGAAACGTGCATTCTTGGGCAGCCCCGGTGGCTCAGCGGTTTAGCACCGCCTTCAGCCTGGGGTGGGATCCTGGAGACCCAGGATCCGGTCCCATATTGGGCTCCCTGCATGGAGCCTGCTTCTCCCTCTGCCTGTGTCTCTGCCTCTCTCTCTCTCTCTCTCTCTCTCTCTCTCTCTCTCTCTCTCTCCCCATGTCTCTCATGCATAAATAAATCCTTAAAAAAAGAAAAAAAAAAGAAATGTGCATTCTTAAGCCCCTACTTCAGGCCCTCAAAGTCAGAAACTCTGGGGCAGAGCCTGTTAATCTGTTTTAAGAAGCCCTTGAACTGATTGAGAAGTACTGTTGTAGCCAATGTCCGGAGGCCATAAACCAGAATAAGTTCTATGAGACACATGGATACTCACCTGTCCACTCTTAGACTGTTTCAAACTATAACAGCTACTTGGATCATTCGCCAACTAGGGCTATATTTTTCAAGAGAGCCCAAGGAGATTCTAGCAATATTAGGGGCTCGAGAATGGCCTAGAATCCAAAAATCACGAGCATGGAAAACAAATTTTTAAATAAACAGTGATTGCTCATCTAGTCCCACCAAATGTTGTACCATTATCACAACTCAATCACAGCCACCAAGGAAATGCTAAACTACAAATTAGCAATCCCTAATTTTACTTTTGTTATTTCTAACCACAATCTCATATCAAGTTAATGGATCAGATTAAAAATAAAGCATTCTCAACCACTTATTACCTGGAATCTGAATCTGGACAGAAGAAAATTTATTTTAACAAGGAAAAAGTCAGGATTTGAAGAAATCCGAAAATTAAATTTGAAATATCCTAATACCCTTAGTTTCACTTACATAACAAAGACAGGGTTATTAAAACAATCATTTATTGCTGGAAATGGTCTCCCTTCTTATAATCTTACTTAACTTTTAATATACCCAAGTTCAATTTCCAAAAGTTCTTAAACAGGAATCCAAAAAGGCATCCAAAGTTTTAGTTAAAAGGAAATATTGTTAGCAAAAAGGCATATCATGCATTAATTTCTGTTTTTAATCAAAGAGAATGACTACTCTATTTAAGGCATTGTCATCTCTCCTGACTCTAAAGAGGATAAGAAAACAGATAAGTGCATAAAGACAAAGAATTAGAATAAAAGTGTACTATTAGTACAACTGTAAGTCAAAAGAATTCCTTTATAAATGTCCAACCAAATCAAATAACTCACTACCTCCAACAACAAAAGAGGGAACACTCTGACTTTTAAACTGACCAACTACAGAGGGACCACTTTGGTTTCTCAAATTATCAAGATAAATCACTGGTTTTTACCTTTATACTATGAGCAATTTTTCCTGCACTGTTTTCATACTTTCAGTATGAATACAATGCATATACAAGCATCAGAATCTTTAAAAATAAAACTGCCTATATAAGTGCTTTATATTAATCAATTCAAGATAATAATGAACTTTAAAGTTCAGACACATACACACACACACACACAACCATCTGCTTTTTAAATAACCTACTATGGATCTACTGTTTAACTGCCTATGATCCACACTCACAGTTCTCCATCTATTTACATTTGAAGGGGTTGGGAGGGGAGTAAACATTAGGTCAATACTTTATCATATAAAGTATATAAGCTATCTTTAAATTGCTTTTAAAAAATCTTCAAAGGATTATTCCTAGTTCTAATACCCCAAAATTTCAGAAAGAGTGATGTGCATCCACAGTTAGTATGTATTACATTTTTACAGACATCAATCACATTTTCCTTTCTGGACCCACATTTCTAGCAGGCTCAGAAAAGACCTGAAATAAGATGACCAACAAGAAAAGAGAAAATCCAAGAGGAACAATGCCCAAGAAATACAAGTTAAAAGATTCTATTAAAGCTTACCTCTTTAGGACACTGATTTTTGCAACAACTAAGGAGGTTCTTTTCATTTTCATCAGCTGTGGTTATTTTTCTAAAAATAAGAGGAAGTTCTGATGACATTCAAACCAACGTCCATTTTATAGTGCAATTTCTAGAAAAATAATTCACAATTTCAAACATATCCATTAAGCTATTCATTTCTTTTTGAAAAAGATTTTAATTGTGTATCATCTGTAACAATTGTCCTCAAATTATTTACCTTCTGATAACTGAAACCTTCCAGCCCTTCATCTATTATCAACACATCAAATACCAAAAGAGTAATCAGTGCAAAAAGAAAGTATATAACACACACAAAATATCATCTGTGCCTGGCCTTTTCTTTAATAGTTCTGCTATTACTGGGCACCTCAGTGGCTCAGTCCCTTAAGCATCTGACTCTTGATTTTGCCTCAGGTCATGATCTCTGGGTAAGGGAATCACACATCACTCCACACTCACCCTGGAGTCTGCTTGAAATTCTCTCTCCCTCTGCCCCTTCCCCTGCTTGTGCTTGCACACTCAAATAAATGGGTAAAATCTTTAAAAAAAAAAAAGATTTTATTTACTTATTCACGAGAGACAGAGACACAGGCAGAGGGAGAAGCAGGCTTCATGCAAGGAGCCTGACATGGGATTTGATCCCGAGTCTCCAGGATCAGGCCCTGGGCTGAAGGCAGTGCTAAACCACTGAGCCACCCAGGCTGCCCCTGGGTAAAATCTTTTTTAAAAAAGTTGCTATTACCTTTCCTTGTAGAGCAATCATTATTCATAGCTATCACCTTCTAAAGCTTCTACATAAAGGATTAAAAACTAATGGCTCAAAACAAAACAAAACAAAACCTAATTGCTCAATATATTACTTAAAAACACTGAGAAAATGCTTAAGTTTTTACTTAAATTCTCATTAGTTACATAAATTGTAGTATCAGTTTCAGGTGTATAATCAGTTTCAGGTGATTCAACACTTTCATACCATACTCTGTGCTCATCTCAAGTGCCCTCCTTAATCCTCATCACCTATATCACCCATCCCCCCCACAAACAGCCCCCCTGGTGACCATCAGTTTGCTCTCTGTAGTTAAGAATCTCTTCTTGGTTTACCTCTCCCTTTTTTTCCCTAGGCTTGTTTGTTTTGTTTCTTAAAGAACAACAACAACAAAAACTACTTCAAATTGAAGAATTTAGTAAGCTTATTTTCGGAAAGCTTCTTAAGCTGCTTTTGTAAGCTATCTACTAATGTTAGAAACTGACTCCCTTTATATTTGATCATTTTAGATCAATCTGTGTGCTTTTATATTTGGCTTGATGGGTAATTCAGGAAAAGTCACAAACACTAAAGAATAAAACTTTCTCGTAGATAGTTGAATATAACCACAATAGACACGGCATAATAATAACTAGTGACACTCTTAGAATCCCTATCACATATAGGTTACTTTTCTCTTCCCATCACCTTTCTTCTCCTTTTGATTCTTTTCCTGCTTTTCTTATTTCCTTTTATTAGACATAATTGCCAAAATATACAAGTTTAGTCTAATTAATATCAAAACTATTATCTTAAGTATACATATAAGTTAGCATAAATGTACTCAAGGTAACACATGCAATTTTCTCAGCAAAAGTTTAAATATCGCAAACTCTTTATACTGGCTCTACTAAAAGCTGTATACTTTCATTCTGACAAGGCGCTCACCTCTGAATTTAAGACTTAGTATCATTTTGTTCCTATCACTTTATAATTAGGTAAACTAATTTTCAACACCTGTATCTTTTATATCTAATTTCTACAGAAGAAATTACATGAAGCAGAAAAGGACTAAAAAAAAAAAGATAACATGAAATAATTCACTGAATTGAAAGTAAATGAAATTATCATAATGAATACTGAGCCTTGAAGAAGTCTCTATAAAAACATACACCTCATGTTTGGAGGTGCTTTTAAAAACAGATTTATTAAGGTTTAATGCAGAACACAATAATGTACATGTTTAAAATGTGGTAAGGGGCAGCCCCAGTGGCTCAGTGGTTTAGCACCGCCTGCAGCCCGGGGTGTGATCCCAGAGACCCTGGATTGAGTCCCATGTCAGGCTCCCTGTATGGAGCCTGCTCCTCCCTCTGCCTGTGTCTCTGCCTCTCTCTCCTCTCCATGTATTCTCATGAATAAATAAATAAAATCTAAAAAAAAAAACAAAAAAAACAAAATGTGGTAAGGCTTGACATAGGTTTACTCCCATGAAACCATCACCACAATCAAGATCATGGACATTACCCATCACTCTCAAAAGTTTCCTGTGTCCCTTAGGAATCTCTTTATACTGCCCATCACCTGACAGGCAACCACTGATAATGTGTAGATATACATACTTCTTGTATAGATTAGCTTCCATTTTCAAGAATTTTACATAACCAAATCATAGAGCATGAGTCTTTTTTGCTCAGCTTCTTTCATTTACCTTGAGATTTCACATTTTGAGGTTCATTCATGACATTGTAAATAACAATAGTTTATTTTTACTGCTTTATTTATTCTAATGTATAGAAATCTACCATTTGCTTATTCACCTGTTGCTGGACATTTGGATTGTTTCCAGTTTTAGGTTATTACATATAAAATATTATGAACATTCAAGTACATAATCTTTGTAGGGACATACATTTCATTTCTCTTGGTTAAGTACCTAGGAATAGAATGGTTGTATCATATGGCAGGCAGATGTTTAACTTTTTAAGAAACTATCAAACCTTTCCCCAAAGTGTATCATTTTACATTCTTATTAGCAGTGTATGAGTTCCAATACTTCCATATCCTCTCCAACACTTAATACTGTCAGTCTTTTGTCTTTTTAATTTTAGCCATGCTAACAGGTACGGAGTTGTAGGTCATTGTGATTTTTTAAAGTTTTTAAATTCCAATTAGTTAACATACAGTGTAATACTAGTTTCAAGTGTACAATATAGTAATTCGACACTTCCATACAACACATGGAAGTGCTCATCACCACAAGTGCCGTCCTTAAACCCCATCACCTATTTCACCCATCCCCCCACCCACGACCCTTTAGTAACCATCAGTTTGTTCTCTATAGTTAAGAGTCTGTTTCTTGGTTTACTATTTGCTCTTTTCCCCCTCCTTTGGTTGTTTTGTATCTTAAATTCCACATATAAATGAAATCCATGGTATTTGTCATTCTTGGACTTATTTCACTTTGCATAACACTCTCTACCCTCCATCCATGTCATTGCAAATGATAAGAATTCTTTCTTTTTTGTGGTTAGTAATATTCCATTCTCTATATATACACACACACCCCACATCTTCTTCATCCATTCATCAGCTGATGGACATTTGGGCTGATTCCATAATCTGGCTATTGTAGATAATGCTGCTGTAAACATCAGGGTGCATGTATGCCTTCAAATTAGTATTGTTGTGTTCCTTGGGTAAATACCTAGTAGTGCAATTGCTGGATTTTAGGGTAGTTCTATCTTTAGTGTTTTGAGTAACCTCCACACTGTTTACCACAGTGGCTGCACCAGCCTGCATTCCCACCAACAGTGCAGAAGGGTTCCCCTTTTTCTTTTTTTTTTTAATAATATATTTTTTATTGGTGTTCAATTTGCCAACATACAGAATAACACCCAGTGCTCATCCCGTCAAGTGCCCCCCTCAGTGCTCGTCACCTATTCACTCTCACCCCCCGCCCTCCTCCCCTTCCACCATCCCTAGTTCGTTTCCCAGAGTTAGGAGTCTTCATGTTCTGTCTCCCTTTCTGACATTTCCCACCCATTTCTTCTCCCTTCCCTTCTATTCCCTTTCACTATTATTTATATTCCCCAAATGAATGAGACCATATAATGTTTGTCCTTCTCCGACTGACTTATTTCATATCCTTACAACACCTGTTGTTTCTTATGTTGTTGAGTTTAGCCATTCTGACAGGTGTGAGGAGATAGCTCACTAGAGTGATGGTAATATAGTTTGGAATGCTTCTCCTGGATAATGAGTGATACTGAGCATCTTTTCACATGCTTTTCTGTAGCTCTTCTTTGAAAAAATATTTATTCATGTCTTTGCTTCATTTTTTAATTCAATTATTCAGTTTTTGGATGTTGAGTTTTACAAGTTCTCCATATATTTTGGATCCTAATATTTTATCAGATGTCATTTGCAAATCTTTTCTCCCATTCCATAGGCTGTGTTTTAGTTTTGTTGATTATTCCTTTGCTGCACAGAACTTTTTATTTTGATGAAGTCCCAATAGTCTATGTTTGCTTTTGTTTCCCTTGCCTCAGGAGACTATCTAGTAATTAGTTGCTACTGCCAATGTCAAAGTTGTTACTGTAATCTCCTAAGATTTTAATGGTTTCCTGTCTCACATTTAGGTCTTTCATTCATTTTGAATTTTTTTGTGTGAATGGTATGAGGAAGAGGTCCAGGTTCATTCTTTTGCATGTTGCTGTACAGTTTTCCCAACACCATTTGTTGGAGAGACTGTCTTTTTCCCATTGGATGTTCTTTCCTGCTTTGTCGACTATTACTTGACCATTCAGTTCATTTCTGGGTTTTCTACTCTGTTCCATTGATCTATGTGTTTATTTTTGTGCCAGTACCTTACAGTCTTGATCACTACAGTTTTGTAATATAACTTGAAGTCTGGAATTGGGGTTCCTCCAGCTTTGCTGTTCTTTTTCAAGGTTGCTTTGGCTATTGGAGGTCTTTTGTGGTTCCATATGAATTTTAGGATGGTTTGTTCTGTGAAAAATGCTGGTGGTATTTTGATAGGGATTGCATTAAATGTGTAGACTGCTTTGGGTTATACAGGCATTTTAACAATATTTTTTCTTCCAATCCATCAGCATGGGATGTCTTTCCATTTATTTCTGTCCTCTTCAATTTCTTTCATCAGTGTTTTATAGTTTTCAGAGTACAGATCTTTCACCTCTTTGGTTAGGTTTATTCCTAGGTATCTTGTAATTGTAAAGGGGATTGATTCCTCAATTTCTCTTTTTGCTACACCATCAGGGGTATACAGAAATGCGAATAGGTTTCTGTACATTGATTTTGTATCCTGCTACCTTACTGAATTCTTTTAACAGTTCTATCAGTTTTGGGGCAGAGTCTTTCAGGTTTTCTCTATAGAGTATCATGCCATCTGTAAATAGTGAAAGTTTGACTTCTTCCTTGCCAGCCTGGATGCTTTTTCTTTCTTTTATTTCTTTTTGTTGTCCGACTGAAGTGACTAGAAGTTCTAGTACTATTTGGAATTAAAGTGAGGAGAATGGACATTCCTGTCTTGTTCCTGACCATAAAGGAAAAGCTCTCAGTTTTTTCCCCACTGAGGATGATATTAACTGTGGGTTTTTCAGATATGGCCTTTAGCATATTGAGGTATGTTCCCTCTAAGTCTTACTTTATTGAGGGTTCTTATTATGAATGGATATTGTACTTTGTCAAATGCTTCTTTTGCATCTATTGAAAGGATCATACGGTTCTTATCCTTTCTTTTATTAATGTGGTGTATCACATTTGTGAATACTGAAACGACGATTGCTGCCCAGGAATTAATCCCACTTGGTCACAGTGAGTGGTTTTTTCTTTTAATGTTGGTTTGCTAGTACTTTATTGAGAATTTCTGCATCTCTGTTCATCAGGAATATTGGCCCATAGTTCTCTTTTTTAATGGTATCTTTATCTGGTTTTGATATCAGGGTAATGCTAGCCTCAGAACAAATTTAAAAGTTTTCCTTCCTTTTCTATTTTTTGGAACAGTTTGGGAGAAGAACAGTTATTAACTCTTCTCTCTAAATGTTTGGTAGAACTTTCCTCTGAAGCCATCTGGTCCTAGACTTTTTGTTTGTTGGGAGTTTTTTTTTTTTTTTTTTTTTTTTTGATTACTGATTCAATTTCTTTGCTAGTTACCAATATGTTCAAGTTTTCTATTTCTTCCTGTTTCTGTTTTGGTAATTTATGTTTCTAAGAATGTATCTGTTTCTTCTAGTTTGCTCAATTTGTTGGCATACAGTTCTTCATAATACTCTAATTGTTTGTATTTCTGTGATGTAGGTTATTATTCTTCCTCATTTGTGATTTTATTTATTTGGGTCCTTTTTCTTTTCTTTTTGACATGTCTGGCTGAAGGTTTATCAGTTTTACTAATTTCTTTTCAAAGAACTAGCTCCTTGTTTCATTGATCTGTTCTATTTTTTAAAAATTTTCTGTATCATTTTTTTTTTAATTTTTTTTTTTAATTTATTTATGATAGTCACAGGGGGAGAGAGAGAGAGAGAGAGAGAGGCAGAGACACAGGCAGAGGGAGAAGCAGGTTCCATGCACCGGGAGCCCGACGTGGGATTCGATCCCGGGTCTCCAGGATCGCGCCCTGGGCCAAAGGCAGGCGCCAAACCGCTGCGCCACCCAGGGATCCCTTGTATCATTTATTTCTAATCTAACCTATGATTTCCTTTCTTCTGTTGGTTTTAGGCTTCATTTGCTGTTCTTTTTCTAGTTCTTTAGGTACAAAGTTAGTTTTTTTGAGATTTTTCTTACTTCTTGAGGTAGGCCTGTACTGCTATATACTTCCCTCTTAGGATCACTTTCACTGTATCCCAAAGGTTTTGGACCACTGTGCTTTCGCTTTCATTTGTTTCTATGTATTTTTTTTTGTTTTTAATTTCTTCTTTAGCTTCCTGGTTGACCCATTCATTGTTTAGTAGCATGTTCTTTAATCTCCACGTATTTGTGGTTTTTCCACATTTTTTCCTGTGGTTGACTTCTACTTTCAGTGTTGTGATCAGAATATAACTTTAATCTTTTTACATTTGTTGAGGCCTCTTTTGTAACCTAATATGTGATCCATTCTGAAGAATGTTCCATGTATACTTCAAAGGAAAGTGTATTCTGCTAAAAAACATACACTTCAAATATGTATTCAAGGAAAGGAAAAAGGAACTCCAGACACCTATAGTAATGGAAACCACCTCAATCCAAATATATCTACACATTTTCCCCCAAAATCATTCAGCTCATTAGTAATAAAATCACTCAAATCCCATAACCTCCACATAATTAGAAGATGCAAATTTCTACAAAGTTCAAAATTACCTGTAAGTTGAAAAATAAATACCAATTCATAACAGAACGATTTTTCAAGCTCCCTCAGCAAATCATTTCAGAAAACTAGTAGTGTTCTGGAAAACTTGAGCAGAAAAGAGAACACACAACTGAGCTAACATCATACAAGAGAAAGAGAAAGTCCACCCTAAATGTGAAAAAGTCTTGGTAGGTCAGAGCACTAACTATGGGAAGAAACTTTAAAAAGTGCACAAGAATTAAGGAGCCAATCTTGGAAGGATAACACTCTGAACAAGAAGGTAAAAAGGTAAAGTCACCCTCTGGAGACTACATGACAAAGGGAAAAATAAGCAAAAAAGAGAAATTTAGGTCCTGCAAGACCAAAGAAAACCTTCCTCAGTATCACTCATTAATACAGCAAAATTGCTCTCTTCATTCTCTCTACAAAACTTCTAAAGCTAAAGTAATATTTTATTCTTAAAATTTCAACAAAATAATATTTAGTAAGAATAAAATCTGACTTTTCCAATTTAACAAGACATGAGCCTACAGTCACAAAAGCACATTTAAGTTAGTATTAACTGGCATTTTTCAAAAAGTACTTATGTTAAAAAAAATCAGAAACAAAGTCATATTCCCAAATTTAACCTGAGTAAAATATACTTAACAAAGAGCCCACTTTACAAACTTGGGTGAAAAGAGCTAAACAAGTTAGTAAATTATGTTAGATTATGATTAAGTAGAAAAAAAAATGGCAATCCTCCCCCCGCCCCACATAATCCACAAGCAAAAACATGTATTTTATTAAGTGCAGATTTTTTTTTTTAGGTAAAGGAAATACAGAAGTCATAACTGAATGGGAAGTCATCAGAGAGGGAGAAAAACCATGAGAGACTCTTAACTATAGGAAACAAACAGGGTCGCTGGAGGAAAGATGGGTGGGGGGATGGGGTAACTGGGTGATGGGCATTAAGGAGGGTGCATGATGTGATGAGCACTGGGTGTTATACACAACTGATAAATTATTGAACACTACATCTAAAACTAATGATGTACTATATGTTGGCTAATTGAATTTAAACTTAAAAAGGTCATAGCCATAACAGATACATTTGTAATAAAAGGAAAAAAAATATGCCTTGGTAGCTATGTGTACATCAATTTTTTATCCAACAAAATTCTAGTTTGACACTGTTATTTGAGCACTCTACTATAGGAATGTTTCTATATTTTTTAAAGCAGTGATCCAATTTTTTTCCTTAAAAAATCTTAACCAGAATCCCCAAATGGAAAGAAAGCATAACTGTCTTTGAAATCAGGGGTAAGTATCTAGACGGTGAAGTATTCTACATTTCTTTCTTCAGGTCTCTACTGAAAAATCTAGGCTTCTAACACCTATGGGCGACACTGAATAATGTTCCTTAAAGTACATTTTATAGGGTTCTGAATTACAAAAAGATACTGGTTAAAAATAATTATAGTAAAACAAGAATATTTCTCTAGTCCACTTACCTACATTCCACATATAGGCTTGTGATCTTGCAGTGACATTTTATTCTAAGCATCTGAACACAAGGAGGACATTCTCCAGGGTGACACGGCAAAACACATGGATGGGGACAACCCAGAGGACGTGATTTAGAGCACCCTTCTTCACACTGAAGGCATTCTGGGCCAGCCTGATAGGTAGTAAGGAAATAAATCACCTAAGTAGTCTAACATTTCTACATATTAAAATTATAAAATTTATATATCCCATTAAAAGGAAGTACTTTTGTAGCTCTTAGGAATACAGTTAATAAAATGGTGTATGCTTTCACCTTAAAAATATTCAAAATGAAAAAAATACATATTCACAATGAACAGCAAGATTATCAATATGACCACTAGTCACAAAGATTTCTGTCTACAAACCTCGTTAAATCAAACTGCCTCATCTTGAAATTGTACTTGATTATATGAAGTATTCCTACTAAAAATGTAAATTACTTCCTGGAGAATAGTTAGTAGCAGGAAAAAAAGAAAACATTATTAATTCATTTCCACCCAACAAACATGATCACCATCAAACTAAAGAAATCAACACTCTGTTAATACATAAACATTCCCAAAGCATTCAATGTTCTGGAGATACTGCTCTCATCTTGTCAAAGAGAAACATTCATGGGGGTGGGGGTGGGAGGAGAATGACCAGTTTATGTTTTAATGCACTTGGATGAACTAAAATCACATTAACAAGTAAATGTACTTCAACGTAATTCAACAAGGCACCTCTCTGCGCTAGTAATTTAACAATTTAAATACCATCTACCTACTAAAGAAGGTTAAAAACTGTTATTGCAGGATATTATTTATTTTCACGTCATATATGAGATAAAGAGAGCTACAGACATCAATACCAAGTCTTAAAGTTTGAAATTTTTGTTATCATTCCTAAGTATAGCCATGATTACAAGAGTGATTATGTCAATTAAAATCTAAGCTATTTTTGGGATCCCTGGGTGGCAGAGCGGTTTGGCGCTTGCCTTTGGCCCAGGGCGCGATCCTGGAGACCCGGGATCGAATCCCACGTCAGGCTCCCGGTGCATGGAACCTGCTTCTCCCTCTGCCTGTGTCTCTGCCTCTATCTCTCTGTGACTATCATAAATAAATAAAAATTAAAAAAAAAAATCTAAGCTATTTTTAACAATGTAGATTAAAAAGAAAAAGTGTTTCAGTTATGAAACATTCTTCTATAATTTTTTTATTTTTTATTTTTAAAAGTATATTAATTTATTCTAACTTATTCAGCATCTTATGTCAGAAATTATTCACACACTGGGAATATGCAAAATGGGAAAGATCCCTGACATAAGAAATATAAATTTAAGTGGGGGAGGTAAAGAACATAATAGTTGTCTTCATAAATACTCTGAAAAAAGATACAGAAGGTTAAGAAGGAGTAATAGAAGCAGTAAGAAGAAAGCCTACTGATAAAGTTCATGTTTGAACAGAATAAATAAGGGAAAGAGCCATAAGAATGCAGAGTTCCAGAGAAAAGATCACTAAGTGCAAAGGCTCTGACACAGAACAAATTTGGAACATTCAAGAAATAGCAAGAAGGAGAAGTGAGCAAGTGAGTGATGAGTGAAGAGGTAGGAAATGTAGTCAGAAGTTAGATCATTATGAAGTCTTATAGGCCATCATAAGACCATTTGGATTTTATCCTGAGAGTAACTGAAAGCTACTGATGGGTTTTGAGCAGGGAGATGACACACTTGACTACAATTTTTTTTTTTTTACTTACATTTTTAAAAGATTAACCTAGGTGATGCAGTACGACAAAGGTGGGAGTAGAGAGGCTGACTGAGAGAATAGTACAGACACCTCTAGGGAAGAGATGCTAGTGGCTTGGATGAGGACATTAGTGGTAGAGGTTATACTAAATGGTCAGATTCAGGGATGTACTTGGAAGATAAATCTGACAAGACATGTTGTGAGACAAGGACAATGAAGAAAGAAATCAAGCAACATTCCTGCCTTTGATCTGCAGAACTGGGTAAAACTGGTAATACAATTTTCTGAAATGGGAAAGACCAGGAGAAAAATAGGCAATGAATCTCAAAACATGCAAACATAACAAAAGATGACACACACAGTCTATTTCGCTTGTTCTTTTTCCTGGCTATGTGGTACACCTACAATAATTTTTCATTTAAATAACATGAATAGAACATAGTGGGCTGGGAGTTAAGATATCAGGGATACTACTTTCTGATTACTACTGTCCTGTTACCTGACCACAAACAAGTCACCTGACAATCTTCACTTTCCCTATCTGCAAAAAAATTATATGATGAGAGGAGGTTCCTTCCTTCTAATTAAGAAAAAAAATCACTAATTTGTACTGCTAAGCTATATTTCTGGATCACTTATAATATCAAGTTCTATCTTCTAGAAGAAACTATCTTAATTCAGAAATATAGCAAGCCTAGCTGTCAAATATCTTATACAGTTCTCATTTAAAAAAGAAAAACCAGAAATTCTAACCTAGGGAATAAATTGGGATAATGCACAATAATTCTGTTAAGTCAGCTTTTTTTTAAAAAAGAAGATTTTATTTGAGAGAGAGAGTGAAGTGAGCACATGCACAAGCAAGGGGGACAGAGGGAGAAGCAGACTCCCCGCTGAGCAGGGAGCCCAACGCAGGACTCAATCCCAGGACCCCAAGACCATGACCTGAGCTGAAGGCAGATACTTAACTGATTGAGCCACCTAGGTGTCCCCATTATCAACTTTAAAATGAGTTTCTGATTTATCTGACATCTGGAAATTCAGGGAGGGCAGCAATTCTTATTATAATCAATGAGATGATGAGAAAGAAAGCAAAATAAGCATTTGGATTACTATTACAAATTGGAAAATAAATCTTGATAGTAATATTCTTTTTTCCGTTTCATTAAAATATATTTGATATGTTACAAATTCAAGGTGTTCAACATTTACATACTGTAATAAGATTGTCATTGTAACAATAATTAATGCCTCTATCACATTACAAAATTACTCTTTGTTTTTAATGGCTGGAACAATTAAGTACCAAACTCTTAGCAAGTTTGATGATTATACCAATTTTTTTTAAAGATTTTATTTATTTATTCATGAGAGATACAGAGTGGGGGGGGGGGTGCAGAGAGACAGGCAGAGGGAGAAGCAGGCTCCATGCAGAAAGCCCGACGTGGGACTTGATCCTGGGTCTCCAGGATCACACCCTGGGCCGAAGGCGGCACTAAACCACTGAGCCACCTGGGCTGCCTCCCCCTTTTTTTTTTAATCAATGAAACATCACACATCACACACACTGCCTTTAACAGTGTTTCTCAAACATTTTTATGCATGATCAATCACTTGGCAAATGTTAAAATACTGAAGCAGGGCTTGAGATTTTGCATTTCCAACAAGATTCCAGGTGATGCCCATGCTGCTGGTCTACGGACAACACTGCGTGGCAAGGGTCTGTCACAACATAATTATATAAGAAATATATGTGTCTATGTGTGATTATGTACATATATTTTCTTTTCCTCTCATTTACTTTTGGCATAGATTTTTCCCAAAGAGAAAAGACTGTCTTCATTATTTCTTCTTTCAGTGACTCAAAAAATAACTGTCCCCAGGTTTGCTGGGGAAAAACACTTCATCTGCCATCAGCCTCACACCTATCCCCAGTTAACAGCTTTCCACTTACTCGAGCCAAATGAATTAGACAACAGGGATATATTTGTTGCTAATGGTAGCAAGCAGAGGCATTGCCTGCAAAAAAAAGCCTTGACTGAACTGAGATTTGCCAGTTAGGCTAGGGAAAGAGACCAGAACAGAGATATGAAGCAAAAGAGTTTTGAATCCAGTCAATTCAATAAGCACTTTTAAATACCTGCTCTGTTGTAGGCTCTGTGCTAGGATTTAAGGTAGGAACTGGATTAATAGTTCCATAGCCATTTGAGTCAAGAGAGACATATAAGGAGATCTTTTCCAGTGGGTCTCAATTGAGACGTTACAGTAAGAAATTGATTTTGAAGAGTTTATGAATTATTTCACTTTTAATATATAAATTAACCTGATTGCAAAGTTATCCTCCAAATAATGTAGTTTTCACTCACTTGCACTGCAGTGGCCTTCCTTGAGTGGAAGATAAAGATGGACTTGTAGTTAAATTGAGAAGAACTGCACATAATTATAACCCATATTTTACCACAGCCACTGTCCATGAAGCAATGCTGGGATAATCCAAGATAATTCCCCATTCAGTACCCTATCAGCTCTTAAAATGAGTATTTTTTTTTAAGATTTTATTTATTCATGAGAGACACAGAGAAAGAGAGGCAGGGACACAGGCAGAGGGAGAAGCAGGCTGCATGTAGGGAGCCTGATGTGGGACTCAATCCTGGGACTCGAGGATCATGCCCTCAGCTGACGGCAGACGCTTAACTGCTGAGCCACCCACGCGTCCCTTAAAATGTGTTTTTTTTCCAACTCACTTCATATTCTAAAATCCAGTATAGTAGCTATACTCTAGTTAAAGTGATTTTGAATTGTAATTACTTTACTATGATTTTGTAATTCCAATATTTTTCATTTTATCATGAGTATGTTTTTATTAAGGATCAAAGCACAGGTGGATGAAGAAATTATAAGCAATACATTTAACCTGTCTGCATAAGAGCAAGAATGATACTAGGAATACTTATGTTATCATGCTTTATAATCACGAAATCAAAGACCAAAAAAATAAAAATACAAGTGAAATTTTCTTTTTTTTTTTACAAGTGAAATTTTCAATAACATAGAATTCATATTAAAACTTAAGCATCTGTAAATTTAATGCCATTTAGTAAAATGAATCTTAAAATTTTTGGCTTATTCCTCATTAAACACACTTGCTAATAGTATTCTGACTCCCTAAAGAGTGGAAGTTTACCAAAAAACATTAAATATTTTAAAAATACATGATTGTTTATATAACAAAAGTTTATTTTTATTCACACATCATGTCAAATGTAGGCTGGCAGGGAACTCTGGCAAATCAATTATTCGGGGACGCTGGGTGATTTTAACTTTTATCTATATCACACGGAACACACAACCTCCTCAATCACAAAAGTAGAGAAAGAGCACAGTAGTTAATGATAAACAAAGATTTTCCTGACTATTCTTGGAGATGAAAACATTTCTGCCTATATTTTCTTGGTCAGCACCTTTCATATGGCCTAGAAAATTGAGAACAGGAGACTATCTGTATCTCTGTTTTAATAGGAATCCTGTGTATTTTATTGCTACTGAAAATAATTTTGTTGTTTTATATTTTTATTTGTTGATGAATTTAAATGTTTAAAAATAAAATTAAAAAAAAATAAAATAAAATTTAGTATCATTTAAAATTTGATTAGCTAAATTTATTTTTCCTTGTAAAATGGTAATTTTAGAGATCTTTCAATGGTTGACTTCTCATATGCTTTGTAAAATGCTTTTAGTGAATTTCACACACACATGCCCTAATCTGTGATGCCAATTACTTTATTTCCAAAGAATGATTAGGAATATTAAAATTGTGAACACTGCCTATCATACACATTAGGCATAAAAAGTTGCTGAGAAAACTCTAGCCTAAACTAAGAGATATAAATGGACAAAAGTAGAAGTGATATTGCTACCTATTATCTAAATAGACACATAACTTCTATACTTTTTTTTTTTAAGATTTTATTTATTTATTCATGAGAGATGCAGAGGGAGAAGCAGGCTCCATGCAGGGAGCCCGATGTGGGACTCGATCCCAGAGCTCTGGGATCATGCCCTGAGCCAAAGGCAGAGGCTCAACCTCTGAGCCACCCAGGGATCCCCCCTAACTTCAATACTTTTATCATAAAGTCAAAGCCTATGTATTAACACAGGTACAGCATGTAAAGAGAACATCAAAAAACTTACCATGAGCTAGCACAAAGATACATATATACATCAAGCTGTTAAAGTTGGTTGTATTAAGAATAGCAAGAAAGAAGGGATGAAGGCAAGAAGAAAAAAGTTCTAACAAAATAGAAAAGTATGGCATAATTATTCAAAAAAATGTTTCAAGCATACTGTAAGTACATATACATTCAACCTTAGGATATTACCTTGTTTTTGCCAATGCAGGCATCAATTTCAGTTACTTTGTGGCATTCTTTCATACACGTATGATTCTGACAATCTAGGGCTCGTCCACATACTCTCTTACAAGAGTAGGGTCCTACAGCATGGCATGGTAGTGGACTTACCTATAAAAAAAAAAAAAAGATTAGCAGCACACACTAAAGTTTCTGGACCCATATTTCTGAAATGACTCTGTTATCACTTGAGAACAAGTTTCATAAAGGTCTACCACAGTTTCATTAATAATAGTTATTATCAAAATCAAAGTAACCTATCAAAAAGTCCAAAAAATGAATGTCAAAGCAAAATACTCCATTCCTAAAAGGGAAATTCAATATAAAGATGTGACAGTGACCACATATACATAGGCTAATTCCCAAAACTACAAAATATTTTAAAATCAGCATGGGGCACCTGCGTGGATCAGTCAGGAGCATCTGACTTTTGATTTCAGCCCAGGTCATGATCTCATGCTCTTGGGATCAAGCCCTGTGTCAGGTTCCCCACTGAGTGGGGAGTCTACTTGTCTCCCTCTCTCTCTGCCCCTTCCTCCATGTGCACACATGCATGTGTGCTTTCTAAAAGAAGTAAATCTTTAAAAAAAAATTGCAGATAAACTCTTGTACTTTTTAGAGCACTTAAAAAAACAATACCTTGACTTTGTCATTTCTAATAATCCTCATATAGAAGGGGTATAGATTATAAGCTTCACTTAAAACTTGTACCTATGACTCACCTCATGCTTCCCAAGACATTCTCTGCAAAATAAGTAAATAAATAAATAAATAAATAAATAAGTAGAAAACATTTCAAATTCTTCAAAAAGACTATCTGAAGCAAAGCTGCTAAGCCTACTAGTATTATTAGGAACAAAAAACACATGAGGAAATAACAGTGATAATAGAAAAGTTGCAGGATACCAAGTTAACATACAAAAATCTACTGCTGTCCTATATACCAGCAATGAACAATTGGAATTTGAAACATACTATCATTTATATTAGCACAATAAATGAAATAGATACAAATCTAACAAAATATGTAAGTGATCTATATGGGCAAAAGAAATAAATCAAAGACAATCTGAATAAATGATGAGATATCCCATGCTCACTGTTAGGAAGGTGCAAATATTGTTAAAATGTTGCTTCTTTCCCAACTTGAACTAGATTCAATAAAATCCCAATCAAAATCCCACAATTTATTAATAGTGGACACCAACAAACTGATTTTAAGGTCTATGCGGAAAAACAAAAAACCCAGGATAGCCAATACAGTACTGAAGAACAACAGGATACTGACACTATGCAACTTAAACTATGAAGCTACAGTGATTAAGACAGCATGGTACTGCTAAGAGAACAAATAGATTGATGGAACAGAATAGATAGCCCAGAAACAGACCTACCCAAAAATAGTCAAATGATCTCTGACAAAGGAAAAAGGCAACTGAAAAGGGATAATCTTTTCAACAAACAGTTAGTGCTGGGATAAAGACATTGACCTAGAAAAAAAATCCCAACAGGGCTCACACCTTTCACAACAGGTAACTCAAAATGGATCACAGACCAAAATGTGAAGTGTGAAACTATAAACAAAGGAGAAAATCTAGGTAACTTGGATTTAATGATGACTTTTTAAGATACACGAAAAGCATGATCTTCAAAAGAAAATGGTTAAACTAGACTTTATTAAACCAAAACATCTGCCTTGTGAAGAACACTTAAATGATAGTTTAAATGAAAACACTTAAATGAGAACCCACAAAATGGCAGGAAGTATTTGGAAAACATTTATCTAGTAAAGGGCTTATATCCAAAATGTAAAAAAAAAAAATCTTAAAACTCAATAAGAAAGCAAACAACCCAATTAAAAAATGGTCGGGATTTGGAGAACACACACCTCACCTTCCAAAGAAGACATACAGGCAACAAATAAACATATGAAAAGATGCTGAACATCATATGTTGTTAGAAACTGTCAATTAAAATGAGGTGCCACTGCACACCTTTTAGAATGACTAAAACCCAAAACACGGACAGTAGCGTATGCTGGCAAGAATACCGGGAACGGGCTTTCTCACTGCTGGTGAGACTTCAACATGGTAGAGCCACTTGGTTAGATGGTTTGGCAGTGTCTTACAAAGCTAAACCAGGCTTGCCATATGATCCAGCAAAATCTACACATGAATATTTACAGCAGTTTTCTTCATAACTTTCAAAATTTGGAAGCAACTAAAATGTCCTTCAATAGGTGAATGAATAAACAATCTGTGGCACATTCATACAATAGAATATTATTCAGTAATAAAAAAAATGAACTACCAAGACATAAGACACAGAGGAAATTTAAATGCATATTGCTACATGAAATATGCTGAAAAGCCTATAAACTATATGATTACAACTATAGGACATTCTGGGAAAGGCAAACGTATAGAGACTTTAAAAAGGTCAGTGGTAACAAGTGGCTTCAGGGAGAGGAAGTGGGGGATGAACAAGCACAGGACATTTTTTGGGCAGCGAAACTACTCTGGTTGCTATAGTACTGGTGGATAGTGGATACACGAGATCATGCACTTATCAAAATTCATAGAACCATCCAACACAAAAAGTAAACCCTAATGTAAACCATGGACTGTAGTGTATATTATCATCAGTTCCTCAATTGTAAAAAAAAAAAATGTATCACAGTAATATAAAATCTTAATAACAAGAGAAACTATGTGTGGCAGGATCAAATGGGAACTCTGTACTTTCTGTGTAATTTTTCTATAAAACTGAAAATTATTGAAAAAAGATAAAGTCTATCTAAAAAAACTAATATATATATATATATATATATATATATATATATCAAAAAAAGATAAAGTCTATTTAAAAAAACTAAAAAACTAAATAAACAAACATTTTGCATCCCTTTCCAGGGACTGGTTTAGAAATTGTCTTATGATCCTATTCTGGCCAACGAAATGTGAAAGGAGCTTTGCTATGGGGCTTCTGGAAAAGGCTTCTCACTCTTTAAAAAAAGATGATGACAATAGAAGGCATAAACAGTTTCTGTTTTTCTCTATGGAAACTTCCTATCTGGATGGGAAGTTGATCAGAAAGCCAAACAGCCTGAGGTCAAAAATGACACACTGAGGATAAAATAGAATCTGGGCCTGTGATGGTCACTGCATTAACCAGCTTAACTAACCACAGAGCTGCTCTATCTCCAGTCTAATTGTGCAGGGCATAAAAGTTAATATGTCCCTTTTTATTTAGGTTCTTTATAACTTGAAACCAAAGGCGCCATAAATGATATAGCACGCGTGTTCAGAATTCTTATCACCATGTGACCAAATTATTAAAAGTCATGTTATGTTTAAAAATGGGACAAGAGGACATGAACATTCTCCTCTAAGAAAGAAATCCTACTACATAGATAGCTCATGTGACAAGTAATAATTTTAACATATACTTTATGATCTTATACATGCCACTGAAAAATCTTTATATCAGAATTAGAAGGATCTTTATATGGGTTTGCCTCCTTTTAAAAACTGAAATAAAACTCACATACCATAAAATTTATACTTTCAAAAAATACAATTCAGGGCACCTGGCTGCTTCGGTCAATTAATATCTTCAGCTCAGGTTATGATCTCAGGGTCCTGGGATAGGGTCCCACATCAGGCTCCCGGCTCAGCAAGGGAGTCTGCTTCTCCCTCTACCTCTCCCCACTGCTTGTACTCGCACGCTCTCTTTCTCTCTCTTTAAATAAATAAATAAATAAATAAATAAATAAATAAATAACCTAAAGAAAAATACATTTTAGTGGTTTCTAGTACATTCACAAGGTTATGTAACCATCATCAGCATTGAGCATATTTTCATAACCAACAGAGAAACCCTGTAAAGATTAGAAGTCACTCCACAGCACCTGGCAGCCACTGATATGCTCTCTGCCTCTATAGATTTGCCTATTTTGAACATATCATATAAAAAGAATCAATATTATGTGAACTTTTATGTCCAGCCTCTTTCACTTAAACTGTTTTCAAAGATATTCATGTTATAGTATGTATCAGTAATTCATGCATTTTTATAGCTGAATGATACTCTATTACATGGCTATACCACATTTTGTTTATTCACTCATCAGTCAATAGATATGTTTCCACTTTCTGGCTATTAATAATAATGCTCCTATTATTGTAACATTCATGTCCAAGTTTTTTTGTGAACGTGTATTTTTAATTCTCAGTGTATACCTAAGAGTAAAATTGGTAACTCCAAGTTTAGTTTCCTGAGAAACTACCAAACTGCTTCCCAAAGTAGCTGCACCATTTTACATTCCCATCAGTCACGTACAATGGTTCCAACTACTCGCGATCTTCACTGACATTTGTCTTATTTTAGCCTTCCTACTAAGTGTAAAATGGCATCTTAATGTGGTTTTGACTCGCATTTCCCTAACAATTACTTAAGCATCTTTTCACATGTTTACTGGCCATCTGTAAGATCTTCTCCAGAGGAATGTCTATTCAAAGATTTTGCCCATTTTTAAATCGGATTATTTGTCTTTTTGCTTCTCAGTTTAAGAATTCTTTATATATTCTGGATAATATTCTTAAGGGATATATGAGTTGCAAACTTTTTCTCCCATTCTGTGGGTTGTCTTTTCAATTTTTTTATTGTTTCCTGAAGCGCAATCAAGAAATTGTGCTTAATAACCTCCGTTGACTTTTGTTGCTAATGCTTTAGGTATCATATGTAACAAACCACTGCCTAACCCAAGGACAGAAAGAGTTATACCTATCTTTTCTTGTAAGAGCTTAATAGCTCTTACTTTAAGATCTCTGATCCATTTTGAGTTAATATTTATATATATATTGTGAAGTAGAAGCCCAATTACATTTTTTTTCCATGTGAATATCCAGTTCTTTCAGCACCATGTGCTGACATAAAACATTCTTCCTCCCACTGAATTGTTTTGACACTCTAATCAAAAATCAATTGATGGGACACCTGGGTGGCTCAAGTTAGTTGAGCGTCTGCCTTTGGCTCAGGGGGTGATCCCGGTCCCGTGATTGAGTCCCGCATCAGGCTCCCTGTGAGGAGCCTGCTTCTCCCTCTGCCTGTGTGTCTCTGCCTCTGTGTCTCTCATGAATAAATAAAATCTTAAAAAAAAAAAAATCAATTGACTACAAACATATGAGTTTCTTTCTGGACCCTCAATTCTATTCCATTGATCAATATGTCTCTCCTTACACCAATACCACAGATTCTTGACTGCTATTGTTTTGTAAGTTTAAAATTAGGAAGTGTGAGTCTTCTAACTTTGTTCTTTGTTCTCAAGACTGTTTGGCTATTCTGGGTCCTTCACATTTCCATATGAATTTTGGGGACAATTTCTGCAAAAGAGGCAACTGTAATTTTGACAGAGTATGTTCAATTTGTAGATCATTTTGGGTAGTAGTGCCCTTAACAATATTAAGTCTTCCCATCTACAAACATGGGATGTCTTTCCATTTAAATAAGTGTCTTAGTATCCTTATCAAAAACTGATTAGAAATAAGTTCCTACATTTATGGCCAGAATCTCGATTCTATTCCCTTGATCTATATATCTATCTGTATGCCAGTACCATAGCATTTGGTCTTCTTTAACTTCTTTCAAAAGTGTTTTCTACTTTTCAGTGTTTAAAAATCTTAGATTTCTTTTAATTTGAATAAACAAGTTGCTTTTTAATGCCACTGGAAATACAATTATTTTAATTTCAAATGGTTCATTGCTAGTGTACAGAATTGACTTTTGTATACTAATGTTTCTTATAGCCTTACCAAACTCATTTACTATCTTTAATAGCTTGTGTAAGGATTCCTTAAGATTTTTCATATGTAAGAGCATGTCATTTAAAAATACAAATAGTTTTACCTCTTTATTCCCAGTGTGGATACATTTTTAATTTTTTTCTAGTATAATTGCTCTGGCTAGCACCTCTAATGTAATATAAACATAAATAGAAGGGGCAAGGGCATACATCCGAATTTGTTCCTGTCCATAACAGGAAAGCTCTCAGTTTTTCACCATTAAGTATGATTAAGGGTTTTTTATTGATGCCCTTTATAAGGTTGAGGGACTTTGTTTATCCAAGTTTGTTGAGTGTTTTTATCTAGAAAGTATGTAGCATTTTGTCAAATGTTTTTCTGTATCTATGGATTGTCCTTTATTCTTGTGATAAAATATTACTTTGATATTTTAATTTTCTCTTATTTCTGGGATATATCCCGCTTGTTCATGATGTACAATCCTTTTTACATGTTGCTGGCTTCAATTTGCTAGTATTTTGTTGAAAATTTTTGTATCTATATACAAAAAGGATATTAATCTATAGTTTTCTTTTCTTGTGATGTCTTTTTCTGCTTTTAGTATCAGGGAAATACAAGTTTCATTGAATAAGAAGTGTCTCCATAATGAAACATGAGTGTTAATTCCTTAAATATTTGGTAGTATTCACCAGTAAAGTTACTAGTCCTCAGCTTTTCTTTATGGTAAGCTTTTGGTTACTAATTTAATCTCTGGTTAAACTAATTTTGGTTACATTCTAGGTATAGGTTTATTCAGATTTTCTACTTCTCTTTGAGTCAGTTTTAGAAGTTTTTGTATTTCTAAGAATCTGCCCATTCCTCCACATAAACTATAAGCCAAAGAGGGTAAAAGTGGCTATACTAATATCAGAAAAAAGTCTATTAAAGAAAAGTCTATTTAAGAAAAAGTCTATTTAAGAAAAAAATTGTTTACTAGGCACAACAGTTTACTAGGCCTTATTTGATAAGGACCTCCAAAAATTCTCTCTTCTACTCTAACATCTTTGTAAATATCCAGAATTTCCTCATTTTACAAACAGAGAAGATATATGACTTACTCATGGTAGTAGTTAGCATGAAGGAAGCACAACCCTGGACTCAAGTTCTTACTCTAAAGCATAGTGTTTAACATACATACCCAAAAAAAACTTTCAGCAGCACATTCCAGTCAAGTGCAAAGGAAAGACTTTTTAAAATTGTTTAAACCTCTACTAAACATGAGGTGGTAATTCCAGGCAGTTTTTCTATAGTCATAAAATATTTAATCCAACCTAAGATTTTGAGGAAATTGAAATAAGATATGCGTATCTGTTAAATAATCCTCCTGTAAGACAGCTTAAGAAATTCAAAGATAACTGACTATATTTATACAAAGTTTTAGTGCTATGAATCCCCCTCCACTAATCTACAGACTAAAATCTTCTGTTTGTAGATATAGCTCCCAACAGCACTGTGCCTCCCAACCTGACTGCACAACCAGTATTTAAAAATGCACACGCCACTTAAACTGAGAGGAAAGATGTGGAAGGACAAAATAGGAGTCAGAGCTTTTAAAGTAAACAAGAACTCTCTTTAAAAAGGTAGAGAAGGCATACCAATATTCAATTAGGAACATTACTGGGAGACAACAATCTGTTTTCTAATTTTATGTTGCTTCCCAGAATGTGGTGCTTCTTTTACTCTTATAATCTATAACCTCTACTCCGAGGATGAACCATTCTAGGATTCCACAGTACCCTAGGTTTGGCTCCTTATAGCTCAACCCAGGTCATTTCCTGGGAACACTACTTTTCAGGACACTACTTTCTTTCATTTTCAGTGTTTCCTTCAAGTTTGCCTTACCTATTTACCTATAACCTGGCTTTCCTCTGTCCTCAAGGAGCTCACACACTAGCATGGGAGTCAGTTGGGAAAACTAACAGATGATGATCTCTTGGATGAATTATTGTAAGTGTGAGTTGCTATGGAAACTCAGAAGGACACCAAACTCCAGCTGGGGGAAGACTCAAAAAAAGATATCTAGAGGTTTTCAAGCAGTATGTAAAATGTACTTAGGAAAAAATGAGGCTGAAGACAGAGAGACTGGTTTATAGACTAGGCCTGAAATAATGATGAATTGGACAAAGATAAAGAGAAGGAGATACCTTAAGGTACATTTTGAACTGTGTCAAAAAAAAATTTGTTTTTCTTAAAGTTAAAATTCTAAAATACTTACGTAGGAATAGGAACTTGACATGGAGGACAAGGTAATGCAGTTTGAATAAACGCTGGCTCAGAAGGCTGTTCCCAAGGGCCTGTAGGCTGGTGCTACAAGTAAAAGACATAACAATTTTAAAGTAGAGGAATTAAAGCATATGGCCACTATAAGAACCTAAGAAAATATTTCCATATATCTTCTGCTCAAGCAAGTTGAAATTTTTTCAAGTAACCAAATTGTGCTTACTGAAATATTTTATTCCATCTGTATTCTATCAGATTAGTCCCCTCCACACACATTTGGTATTAAAAATTAAGGCAGACTCCACAGTTTTTAAAGGGCAGAACAAAGGCAATGTAGCTTCCCTGACTTATTATCCAAAAGGGGAATGAGAAACAGAACTCTAAAATCCAACTTCCAGGGGATCCCTGGGTGGCGCAGCGGTTTGGCGCCTGCCTTTGACCCAGGGCGTGATCCTGGAGACCCGGGATCGAATCCCACATCGGGCTCCCGGTGCATGGAGCCTGCTTCTCCCTCTGCCTGTGTCTATGCCTCTCTCTCTCTCTGTGTGACTATCATAAATAAAAAAAAAAATAAAAATAAAAATAAAAAAAATGGTATAAAAAAAATAAAATAAAATCCAACTTCCACCAGCAGAATGTAATCTTCATTATTTTGTTCACTCTTGTCTCCCTAGCAGCTAGGACAATGCTTAACACACAGCAAGGACTCCATAAATATTCACTGAATTAGTGAATGAATTTTGAGGAGATCAGAAGATATCTATAATCCTGAATCACAATATATGAAGGAAGACTGCCTAATTCATGTGTATCGGCATTCCTACATGATTATCACATGACACTACCAAACATCTGTTTATTGGTTTCTCGCCTTTTCTATACCGTGAGCTTCCGAAGACAAAAGAGCAAGTCTTATTTACCTTGCACCCCAGCTCCTATCACAGTGCTTAACACCCAGTAGGTACTTAATCATTGCTTGCTGAATGACTAAGTAAAATTAAGAAAACATGACCCAGAGCAATGCACTACCTCTTAATAATATATTCCCTTACCCTGCCAGCTTGCTTTATTAACGCTTGATCATGACATGGAGCAGGACACAAGTGACCACATTTCTCCAAAACTTTTTGGCAAGGTTGATGACATGGAGGACAAGAGCCAAAGTGACAGCGATGTTTTTCTTGACTTGTATGATGGCAAGTTGGTGGTTGACTAAATCAAAAAGTACAATTTTTTAAATTACTTTTGATCATTGAACAATTATATCTAAAGTGCAATTATCTATTTATGTATCTTCTAATTCCATACAGAACAAGAATACTGTGAATATTAGTATTTTAGAACAGTAAAGCAAAATTTAAAATACTAATAATTTTAAAAATCAATATGAATTTAAATTTGTAAGACACCAGATTTAAGTCTGTGCAGAATCGCATACTAACCTACATTGCTCTTTGCACTTGGGTGGTCTTGTGGTACGTTCCCGGCCACAGGGCACCGTCACCTTTGTAGTACCACAATTGCACTTCACATCTACGGTTTCTGGGCAGGGATAACAACTGCCTGAAAAAAAAAAAAAGTCTGAAACTTAAAAAGAAATGTCTTAACTATTCAAAAGACAATCAACAGTTGAATCAAGAGTTGAATCATACAACTGGATACTCTACAATGAGAATAAAGAAACTATGTGAATGAACCTCACACACATACACACACAACACTGAGCTAAAGATGCCAAACACAAAGAGTATGTAGAATATGATGCCACTTATATAAAACAAATGGGAAAAACTAATATACACTGTTGGAAACCAGGATTATGGTTATGAAAGATACAAGAAGGGTTTTGGAAATACTGGTAATGTTTTGCTTAATCATCTGAGTTTTGGTTACTTGGTTATGTTTAGTTCATAAAAACTTATCAAGCTGTACTCTTATTGTATACTTTTCTATATCTTTACTGGTAATTCAATTAAAAAGCTTTAGAATTTTCTTTAAAATCTGCTAAAAATTCCATTCTAAATAACAAATTTAACACATTAATCATCTACTCACCATTGCACAAGCAAAATAGATCTACATCTTGGAAAAATCTAACATTATCAATCATCTCTTTGGCTTATTTTCATATATACTTCTATTCAAGCACATTATTTTTAGATAAATTCCCCAGTAAGAGTAATTTCTCTCATCAGGTTTTGATTTTTGATTACTTGTGCTTTGTGAAGGACTAATTCTAAACCCTTATTTTAGGCTATAATTCCAAATATTTCTCTTCTAAACATTTTAAGGAAAAGTTATTTGGGTTTCAGCTTTGTTACAGTTTGGGAGGAATACACAAAAACAAAATAAACTTTTTTAAACAGGCTATAAAATTCTAAGGCTCTGACATCTATCTTCAGGGCTTTCTTCCCACTATAGTATTCTAATAAGTAAGGTTCCCCACTAGAAATGAAATACCAAGAAGGGAATAGAAGTCTTCACCTAAGGAATGAGGATCATAAGAGACTGCTGCCTATGTGTCAGGACCAAACAGAATACTGAAGAGCAGTTAACCTAAGAAACAGACTAATGCTGAAAAGTACTCTGTTTAAAGCCTCTTAAACTAGATCCTAAAAGGAACAGAGGATTCTGATTCAAATAATGAACATGGAATAAGAAAATGAGAGTAAAAAGCATCACAGGGAAAAACATTTATGTATTGTACAAGTTACCAAATTTACACTTCAGTGTTTTGAAAATTAAAATATAATCCAGTGAGATATTTTCTTGATGGTAAGACAAGCCAGTTGTCCACTTGATCAAATTTTATTTTATCTTTCTAAAAGAATGATCAGGTGTCATATTTTCTACAAGTTAATAAAGACCTTTAAGTCTGTCCTTATTCAGCATATTGTATCATTTTCTACACTTTACAATTTTCATTCATTTTCAGTAATACAAACAGGAACTTATCAAACATAACACCTTTTTGACACTCTAAACTACAGCATCAATTTTCCTTTTTTGAAATTAAATCCTGAGAAACAGAGATAATTTCTTTGAAAAGTCTTCCTAGCCATCAACAGAATTTGTTACAGTTTCCTGTTCAACAGGACAGATAAATCAGCTTCAGTGATATTTTTTAAATGAAAAAGCAACATATAGAATGCGACTATAATGGCCAATAGCCAAAATGGGTATACCCGTCCAGTAATTGCAGAACCATAAACACAGATGCCCTTGACTTTCGAGAACTGTAGTCAAACTTTCATATGTTCACAGGACAAACATGCAATTCACACCTCTTCCTATAAGTTACTGTACAACCCTGATCATGAAGGTGTCTCCAGTGATGGAAAACGGCATGAAATAATGGCTCTATACATCTTAATGTAACTGTGGATCAAACAAACGGTGAAAGCTGCATCTTAACAGTATCTTCCACATACTTTCCATTAAAGTAAATGTTGTTAGGGACTAGTAAGCTTCTTTTTAAAAAAAATAAATAAGTAAATACTTTGCCCCCCCCCCCAAAAAAATGAATCTGGATCTGATCTAACCTCTAATAATTTATAGGAAATACAGAGAAGAGTTGCAATCTGTAAAATCTAGACTCTGTGACTAAATAAAGCAACCTCATTTCTTAAATAACTGACAAGGAAAACAGAAAAAAGAGAGGAAGAAAAGTATAGATTCATCAACTTTAGAGACACCAACCAATTGCAATATGTCAACGTTACAGGTTTTTGAGTCATACAAACTAAAGTAAAAAATGAAGATATTTATGACATAAGATAATGGAACAGCAGATATTTGCTGATATTAAGAAATATTTTAACTATTTTTAGGTTAAGAATCTACCCTTTAGAAATGAATATTGAAGGATTTATAGGATTTGCTTCAATATAATACAAGACTGAGATATGTTTTCAACACTCCTCCACTAAGTATGATGCTTGCTCTACCCTTCTTGCAGGTGCTAACAGGCAAAGGATGCTCCTTTCTATTTCTAATTAAGTTTACGTCAAATATGAATGCTGAATTCCATCAACTGCTTTTAGACACTAAGATAGTTTCACTTTGCCTTTGGTCTACTAATGTGGTGAATCACGTCATTAGATTTACTAAAGTTAAACTAAGCATACATAATTGGAATAAACCCAACTTGATTAAGAAAGATTAAGGTTTTAGATAGCTAATACTATTGTAAGATGGCTGGATTTGAGTAGCAGAAATTTTAATATTTTACAACCTTTTTTTTTTTTTTTAAGATTTTATTTATTCATTCATGAGAGACACAGAAAGAGAGGCAAAGACCTAGGCAGAGGGAGAAGCAGGCTCCTCGCAGGGAGCCTGATGCGGGACTTGATCCCTGGCCTCCAGGATCCGACTCCGAGCCAAAGGCAGACACTCAACTGCTGAGCTACCCAGGTGTCCCTACAAACATGTTTATGCATTAGATTGGCCTGTAATTTTCTCTTACTTTCTTTGTAGATAATATAGTAAGTTGGGACATGTTCCTTTTTTACATATCCTCTCAAATATTTTATGGACTTACACACACAGAGATCTTAAATGTTAAAAATCATGTGTAAAAATCAACTAGGCCTGATGTTTTCTTGGTGAGAGAATTCTAAACCACTGATCCAATTTCTTTTACGATAATTCAACTACTTAAGGTTTTCTAATTAAAGGCCAGTGTTTTAACCACATCAACAAGGTCCTATACATATTATTTGTCCAGCAATCCTTTATCCACCATCTCATGACCTCATCTATCATTTGCCTCTCTGATCACTTACTTCAATTCTCTTTGTGAATTCTTTCAAATGCTCCTGTCTCAAGGCCTTTGCAATTACTGCTTTCTTGCCCAAAACACTATCCCACTCCCTTTTTCACATGGCCTGTAATCCTTTACTTCTTTTGGGATTCCTCTCAAATGTCATCTTTCTAGAGTCCTCCCCTGATCATGCTAGATTTTCTTTCTATACTTGTCACTATCTGATATTCCATATTAATTTGATTATTTATTTATATTTTAACAGAGGAGAAAAAAATAAGTTCCATAAGAGCAGGCACTTTGTCAATATTGTTCCCAGTGCCTGGTACTTAGACACTCAAATATACTTTTTTAATTGAATTAATGACTAAATTTAGTGTTAATGAAATCTAATGAATCAAAGACATAATATGATTTTAAAAAATAAAATTCTTTCACAATTTAAAGATACTAACAAATCAGAGAACATTCACAGGAAAAGGTCTATGGGGTTAACTGAATATGCCACTTTTCCTAACAGAGAGGCAATGTCATAGAATGGAAACATCATTAAAGTCTGAGGTCACATCTGACCCTGCAACTAGTTCTATGACCTTGGGCCAACAGTCTCTTTGCCTGTTTCCTTATTATACAAAATAACAGTAGCACAATATACTTTTTGGATTTTTGAGAGGATTAAGACATTAAGGGAGGTATCTAGTATCCACCAAATCTCAAAGGAAGTTAACAAAAATAATGTAGTTTGTCCCAGGTCATAAAGTTACTAAGTTGCAGAGTCCAGATTTGAACTAGAACCTCTGACCCTAACACTTCCCTTTCCACTACCCTATACAATCAGTATTTCTTTTCATAGCATCATACTCCAAAGGGATGAAGTTAACTCAGGGTTTTTTTCTTTTGTTTTTATAAAGATTATTCATTTATTTGAAAGAGAGAGGAGAGAGCACAAGCCAGCAGAAGGAGAGGGAGAAGTAGACTCCTTGCAGAGCAGGAAGAACAACTCAGGGCTCAATCCCAGGACCCTGAGATCATGACCCGAGCTGAAGGCAGACGCTTACCCAACTGAGCCACCCAGGTACCCCATCAATTAATTCAGTTTTCAATGTCTAGTAACTTCAGCAACCCTGAGATGTTTTCAGGAGGTCTGCAAAGTCTCACATGCATAGGGTAGTTTTCCAGATGCCATGGTCGAGTGGTATAACAACAAAATGAATGCAGAAACATACATGTGGATTTTGCCTATCCTCCTTCAAGCCAGATATTAAAGACATTTGCAGAAATGTAACACAATATCATTCTTCTCACTATATTTTTCAGAAAATATAGTTATTTCCCCAAAAAGTTACCATATTAATATTAATGGGTTTATTATTGCTATTTTTAAATAAAATCATAAACACTCTTATATTGTATTTTAACTCCAAATACAAAAAATACCAATAGATTAAAACCAACATCAACAAAAAGTCTTTGAGTACAATAAGAATGTGAATGGATATTGAGACCAAAAAGGTGGAGAACCACTGGCTTAGGATACATCCAATCCCTTATCAGACTTAATTCCATACAAATGTGTAAAATTCAAAATAACACTGAAAAACCATAGAACATTTTAATTAATTTAAAAACTTTGTAGGGGAAGCTGAGAAGTAAGGAAATAACATGTGTTACAGAAAGAACAAAACTTTTACTTTTTTTTTTAAATATTTTATTTATTTATTCATGAGAGACACAGAGAGAGAGAGAGAGAGAAAGAGAGACAGAGACACAGGCAGAAGGAGAAGCAGGCTCCGCGCAGGAAGCCTGATGTGGACTCCAGTATCACGCCCCAGGCCAAAGGCAGACACTAAACCGCTGAGCCACCCAGGGATCCCAGAACAAAACTTTTATATTCAGAAGGTCTGGGTTCAAATCTTAAGCTATACTGCTTTACTAGATATTTCTGAGAAAGTCACTGAATTGTCTTTAGCTTAATCTCCCTGTCTAAAATAGGGATAATGGTGACTGCCCTACCTTCTCCAGGTTGTTAACAGTAAGACAGTGAATATAACAACTCTTTATCAACTATAAATCACTGTATAGATATAAACATAATTACAGCTATTGTTAAATCTTACCTCTGTGGCAGACAGATGGACATTTATGGTTTCTACATCCTAAAGTCCGTCCGCAGTTTTGATCACAAGGAGGACAGTTTCCAGGGCAACACTGAAGGAAAAGCAATATATAAAGAACAGGTCATTTGAAAACCATACATAATATAAACGTCATTATTAATTATTCTCAAAACTTATGAAAAGCAAAAGATACTTCTTTTCACCATAAAAGTATTCAAGAGTATCAACATTACTCTCTCTAGATAGACTGCATTAAAGACTTATAAATTTAAATAATGACCTAATTTAATGAAGTCAAGCTAAATTTCCTTGCCCTATAATTATTCTGTGACTTAAAACAGTCCCATTAGATAACTTCATTTCTAATTTATCTATGCAGAGACTGCCAACATTAACAAAAGGAATGGATTTGGTCAAATCCGATAGTCAATTCAGGCAAACAAGTCTATTTTTTAAATGTAATGAAAATAAATCAATGTATGGTTCAATGTATAGATTAGTCTGGCAGTTATTTTCAAATCATGGCATCAAAGACTAAAAGAATGAAAGGCTAATTGCTTCTAACTTTATTTTCTCACCTCCCTGTTTTCCAATCCATTTATGCAGACCTCCCCCAATTCCATTTATGAACACACAGCAACTACTTAAAGCCCATCTTGCCATCCTAATTCCTTCCTTGACTTCTCATATATCCAAACTTTAGGGAAAAAAATACAGACTACAACTGTCTTAAAGAAACTTAGGGGGAAAAAAAAGAGAAAAAAACTTAGGGTTGTAACCTACTTAAGAATAAGTCTCAGTGTAGAAAAATAGTTCAAAACAAAATACACAGTATTGAAAAGCAACTAAAAGTCAAAATAGTTCATTCAATTAGATGAATATTTGCCACAGAATACTATGTGCCTATCACTCTGCCAGTAACAGTGGGAGAAAAAGAAAGTTATGTGGTCCATGACTTGAATAAGCCTTTCGACATTTCTGGTTTTGACCATGATGGGAGTAATAATGATCAGATTTACTTTTTTTTTTTTTTTTTTAAACAACTAAGATACAAGGCAAAATACATGAAGCAACAGTTTTTAGACATTAGACAACTGGGCAGCACAGTACAACAATCTGTAAAAGAAGAGAGACAAACAAGGTGAGTCCTATGGTAACACTTGCTTAGACCTGGTTTCTAGGCTACAACACAAGGAAGAAGATCACAAGCAGAGTCTGGGAGTATCATCATGTTGAGCGGACAAAATTCATACTTCAAAGAGGTCAGTGTGGCTAGAATTTGTGGAGAAATGGTAGCACCACAGAGAAAACTCTAGAGAACTCAAGAAAGGATCCTTGAGTCCTTGGCTGAGTACTGATCTTTACGTGTATAATAAGAAAATAACCAAAATCTGAGAAAGAACCACTGCCAAGAGAAGGCACAACCATTTCCAGAAATTATTTAAATATCACCTATATCATCATCTATGTTTTAAAATCCAGGGAACAAAAAAAATAATAAAAAATTAAAAAAAATTAAAAATTTTTAAAAATTAAAAATAAAAAAATAAAATAAAAATAAAATAAATAAAATAAAATAAAATAAAATTCAGGGAACAGAAACAGTCCAAGAACCAAGTCAAAAGGTTTATGCTCGGGGATCCCTGAGTGGCTCAGTGGTTTGGTGCCTGCCTTTGGCTCAGGGCGTGATCCTGGAGACCCAGGATCGAGTCCCACATCAGGCTCCCTGAATGGAGCCTGCTTCTCCCTCTGCCTGTGTCTCTTCCTCTCTCTCTCTCTAATGAATAAATAAAATATATATATATAAAAAAAAAGGTTTATGCTCAGGGCCAAAAAGACACCCCTGTCACTTAAAAACCTTGGTAAGATTTCCCACTAATATAAACAATTAAGATTAATCTAGAATATTTGTTAGTATTTCATATGGAAAGCAAAGAACACACTTGAACATCTGAAGAACAAATCGTGATGGTACTTATCACAGTCTCAAAAAGGACAAATTCAAAACAATTTTTAAATCAATTTCCCAAGCTTACTACACATACCTTTCTCCTACACTGATGCTTCTGACAGTCCCGCATCTTAACACACTTAGTCTCACACAGATAAGGTTTATGACATGGCATTCGTTTTGTATGCTTTCCACAGCGACAATGCTTTTCCACCTCCTGGAAGAATGGAATAAATGTTATTAAAACTAACTTTTGTTGACATGTTTTGTTTTTTTTTCCCCCACATTGCAATCTCTGTAATTAGTAAAGAATGAAGAAGTTTCAAAAGTCCTTTCATATAAAGGACTTTGCAAAAAATAAAGCTGAGTTTCCTCAGATATTCTTTGTATCTTACTTTGTTACAATAAAGATTTCATAGAATTTCTATTATATCTAGCAAAAATTGGATATTAAATAGTGAAACAATAACACATTAAAATCACATCTGGGTACGCCATATCATCTGCGCACATCTTGTTTCAGTAAAACAAAAGATTGGATTATCTAGTAGTATGGTCAAAACCAAAAGGACATACAACTTTAACATCTCACTTCTAGGCATTTATTTCTTTCCATCATCACTAGGTCAACTTCATCATTGCTTTGAATATCTTCTGGAAACAACCCCACACCAGATTATAAAAAAAGACAAAACTTAAACTTATATATCAAGCAAAATCAAACAAAGGGTAATTTTTAGATTTAATTGTTGGCAACTCTCCTACTTCTCCACCATAAATATTAGGTCACAAAACTCATACAGATCATCACACAGATGTTTAGGAAAGTAATGGAAAACAATTATAGCATAATTCCATTTGACACACAAAGATAGGTGGTTCTTAAAATGAATTATTATAGGAGATGACTAACTTGTCTACATGTTTCACAAGGACCTCGGTGACAACGCTGTGAACATCTATGGATTCCACATTCAAGTACTTTATCACAACTGTCTCCACAAGTTGGTACATCTTCTGTACAAGGCAAAGAAAACTCTAAAAGTGGACAAAAAGGCAGAGTTAATAAGATACATGCCATGTTCTTTTGGCTCTCTAAAGAATAGCCCTTTCAGACTATGAATTTTTATCTAAATAAAAGAGTAAGACTATGTAAACCTCTATGAAGAATTCTACAATCTCTAAAATTATAAAAAGAAAATTTGCTCTTAACAACCTCACAGGATTAGGAAAAAAAATGTAGACTTGAGAACATTATGAAACTGACCTTTAACTTAAACATATTGTGTTGGCAATAATATTACAAATATGTATGCTGGTATTGGTGCAGAGTCAAAGAAGTAGACTCAAACTACATCCTTCTAAGCCTAATCTCAAAGCAGCCAAATTATATTCACCCATAACCTAATACACAATACAATACTGACAACAGCCTATGATAATGACGGACACTACACCTTTATTGCCAGACACTACACCAAATACTTTATCTGCATTTTATCATTTAATTCTTACTCATTTCATTCTCTTTATCTTACAAAGAAGGTATTATTACTGCATTTAACTTGAGAAAACTACAATTCATGAAGGCAGAATTTGAACCAGGATATGCCTGACTCCAATGTCTGAGCTCTTAACTCATTAAGCTATATTGTCCTCTCACCAAATGTAAAATAAAATCTAGTATCAGATTGGTATTTTTATTGAAATTAGATTATGAAGTCACACAAAAATCTAAATTAAGAGCATGTTCTAAGTGAACATGATATAAAAAAAAAGTGAACATGATAATTAATTGTACTCCATTAAAGTTTTTTTAAAAAGCCTTACTTAAAAAAAAAAAAAAAAAAAAAAAAGCCTTACTTGACTTCTGACATGGACAGAACCTTTTCCCAGATCGAGGACATTCTCCGCAAGCACCAACATGGCAAACTTGCTCACATGTATGATTACCACATGGCAGTGTTTTCCCACATACCTAAAATAAAATGCAATAAGCACTTATTGCAACTTTTAAGTCCTTCCTTAAGTGAAGGACTTAAAAGTTAACAGAAAAGACTTTGTGCATGACGTAATCTATTTTCAATCACAAGCAACTTCTTTATGTTCTTCACATTATGCTTTATGTCTTACATAGGTATCATATACATATACACACAAACATACACACATACATTTCCTATGTACCAAAGTCTATTTTTAAAATAAAGGGGAAAACGTACATAGAGCTTCATATGGCCATCTACCAAAGATTTCCAAATGATACTAAAACCATGTCAATTCTAGGACAATCTACAAAATCCTACTTTCTCAATTGGATTAACTCAAGAGGGGGTAGTGTTAGCTGAAGAGAAGGGAAAGACAAGGAAGGAGAGATAGAAAGAAGCAGAGTACATACGTACTGAATCCAAAATTCAACATATAGCAATTAATTTGGGAAAAAAAAGTTTCCTCCACTAATTAAAATTGCATTCAATTGGCAAATAGTTTCCTAAAACATGAAAATAATTCATTTGATTTGCTATTCTTCTTTTATGTAGCTAAACCTCATTGGCATTTCTAATTGTTTATGCTTTGTGTACTCTTTAATACAACCCCTTCAACCCCTACACTTACTTGATCACAGTGCCACAGTGGACTTGCACAGCTTCTTTCGGCTATTTGTTTCCCACAGACACACTTTTGCCTACTAACTCTTGGACAGGGCGGACAATTCCCTAAAATCACAATGATAAATTAGCATAGAAACATTACAAAAGCAATAAAGACTAACTTGATTTTTACTTAAGATTTTTACTTAAAAAGTCAGAATACCTAAACACATATGACCTTTTTACCTGCATGACAAGGACTTTCACATTTATGGTGTCCACAAAGCAACTTCCGCCCACATGGCAGCTGACATGACCATTCCTTAGCACTGCACCTACGAGGTATAGGTTTTGCTTTTTTACAGTAACAAGTAATTGTGACCATCTTTGGACAAGGAGGGCAGGGACCTAGAATCCAATGAAAGGGGGAAGAAAAAATTACAAGTCAAAATTTAAAACTTTCAACTCCTAAACCTATCAGTAATTTGTAAAGCTTTCTTTACTGATACTTTAAAAAACATGCCTTTCTAATATCTTCTTATGTAAACCTAATTTCTGAATTAAACTTTCACAATTTTTTTCTGCCTCAACATAAGAAATAACCATCCACAAATAACTGGAAATGTAGTATTTAACTCACCTGGATGACAGAGGAGTAAACACTTATGGCCACAAGGAGGTTTAAATTCTCTCTCACATACTTGGCCACATGAGTGAGGCACAAGCCATGGATCTAAAGGTGGATCTTCTACTTTTCCACAATAGCAATAGTACCTACTAGGTGTGTCAGATCGTTTGTATTCAAACCTACATTTTGGACTACAAAAAAGAATGAAATTACTGAAATTAATTTCATTTTTAGCAGCGACATGAGAAACAGGAATATAAATATACTTAGTAGAATATATGCAACTAATTTTTTATTAATGCACCCTCTGCTCTATCTTTATATTAGTAAGAAACAAGATTTTACAAAAATCAATTTCAACCATCTACAACAGCTCTGTCCAATATAATTTCTTGAGTTGATGGAATGGTTCTATACCTACCATGTCTAGATCAGTAGCCATCAGCCACATATGACCAGCGAGCACTTAGAATGTGGCTAACACATACAACTGAGGTAGAAACAGAATGTTTTACAATTTTTCAAAATTAAAATAACCATATGTGGCTAGTTGCTACTGTACTGAATATAGTTAGAATGAAGCTACAAAAAGAAAGCAATATTAGTTTTCTACTAAGCAGATGCACTTTATTCTTGAGGTAGTCATTCCAATTTTTATGAAGCTCAAGGTTTTAAAAGTTTGGTTGGGTGATCTGCAAATAAGTAAAACAGATTAACACAGCAAACAGAAGAGAGAAACCAGATTATACGTAGGCAACAGCAGCAAGAAAGAAACATGCCTAAAATTTAGAATTGAGGAGGAAAAATAAAGAATTTTTCGACATCTAATTCAAAATAGGTATACAACAAATGTGTTTAAATAAAAAAGTTCAAATATTGTTTTGTCTTCTCTGCTAAAGCAGAAAGATTTTCACCTAGCAAGATTAAAATAAAGCAGTGTTAACCTCGGCCGTATCAAATTCACTTCTAGATCATAGATCGCTTCATTCTAAAAAGATGTTCTATCCCTTACTATCCCCCAGACAAACGAGTATAGTTAGCATACTATACTAGAAAAAATTTCGTATCACTTTCTTTTATATCATATAAATTTTCAGTGTCCTGAGAACATGTTCTGTTTCCAAATAAATGCCACATAAATATTCAAAATAACGAAAGATATTTGTTTCTGTAATCAAAAATCAAAATCAAAATACCATATCTCAAAAAGAATAGTAACTAAAATTATTTTGTTGGAAGAATTATAAAAGAAAAATGTATACATTTTTCTAAGCCAATGCGAAGGGGGATGTGTACCTTAAATAAGCCTAGATATGGATGGCTAAAAAACAACTCACAACACCCTAATACTACCCATCAACAGTGAGGCTAAATTATCCCAGGGGATTGGGAGAGGTAAGGGCAATAAGAGCAAATGCATGTGTTTTATTTAAAACAACGGCATGCAGTGCTCGCTTCGGCAGCACATATACTAAAATAATGGCATGCAATAATGAAATGTAATTGTCATATCTGTATAAATAAGCCATATCTTAATACAAACCATTATCCACAAAACTAATTTAAAACTATTAATATTTGTATCAAGTTCTAGTTCCATCTTGATGAGGATGAAATAAATCCAGAATAATCCTTGATTTTCTTAAAAAATATGAAATACCGAATGCAAAGATTACTACTACACAGGTAACTCAATTTTTTGTTCCTCTGAGATTTAAGTAAAGAGTACAAGTTTCATTTCCCTTTTAACTGGTATCTCCCACCACTGTAGCAAGATGACCACTTAAAATAGAATGAGATGAGCAAGAGTGATAAAAAGCATACATAAGGTTTAGAGCTCTAAAATTAAGTCAGAATACCTAGTTTTTTACCTATTGAACACTTAAATCCTCCCACAAATATATAGTAGCAAAACAAATACAGACTCTGAAATTTTAAACTGTTGCAGAGAAGCTAATATTCAATGCAAACAAAACAAATTATATCTCTAAAAATATAAGAATCAACTCAGAAGAATAGAAAAAGCACTAAATTTAGAAGGCAGAAATTCTAGTTTTCAAATCCTAGCTTTACCACTTAAAAGTAAGAGAAGCCAAATATATTATTTTCCTTCATCAATTTCAATATCCCATTAACATGGGAATAAGAACTCTCATAGAATGCTAAGAATTATTTTTCAAGGTAACTAGTATTAAAATGTTTTTGAAAAACTACACTACCACAGGGGCACCTGACTGGCTCAGTCAATTGAGCGTGGAGCCTACTTAAAAAAAAAAAAAAAAAAGAACAAAAACAAAAAAACCCACTACACTACCACAATTTTACAAATGTATCGGTATTTGTGGTAATAAGGGGAAGTCTAATATGGATCCAGGTTTTCTGAGGTCTGAATCTCATATAATTTGGGGGCCTCTATTAATAATATAAAATTAGCCACAAAAGTAAAGATTTATATCAACACAGAACCCTGAAGTTTATGCTTCCAGATCCTGACAGTAAATCTACCTTCTGAGTTGCCAGGATGGATAAATTATCTTTATTTAGCAGAGATATAAATTCTCCACTGCTCAGCTCTTCCTGGAAATACAACAGGAGTTTATAATCAAATATTCATCAATAATAAGCCATGCTAAAGAAATAAATGTGGAAAAACCGGTAAGACTGGATAATAACACCTGCAGTTTGAGAGATTTTGAAGATATAATCAGGAAGCCTATGATCAAAATACATTAGATGACAGTCTTATACCATGTGATACTAACTAATGTATACTAGCAGTAACTCTAGAAGAGAAATACCAGAATTATGGATTCTAGTCCTATAGAATTTTAAAGAAATGGAAGTTCTTTAAAAGATAATTAAGGAGTTGTTTTGCAGAAGAAAAAGTAAAGTCTGAATGATTAGATTTCATTAGTTTTTGAAAGGAACAAGAACAGAAGAAAAAAATTACTATAATGCCACAAAACTAAAAACTAACTGAAGGCCCAACAAGGATCCTGAAACTGCCAATAAGGCAACTTATGACCTACAATTTTCATTTATTTTACAACTTACTATTCCAACTAAATTAGCAGAAAGTTACCATGGCCAAGGATAATCTCTCTTTCCAAAATCGTCATCCGTCAAAGGAGAAGATACCAGAAATTGGCTATCTTTAGCCCACTTCTGGATACAGGGCATGTGAAATATACAGAAACATCCTGAACAGCTCCAAACCTAAGACAAAGGTATCAGAAATTAACATGTATGCAAGGATTCTCTTTGATAATTCCACAATACTTTAAAATGAACATCACACTGAATTTTTTTGAAGGGCTACCTAAGGACTAAAGAAAAATTTTTCTTTCCAGTCTAACAGAAGAAATGTTCTTGATAAAAATTTATTTAAGTGTAGAACACTTTAAATAGGAATATTAATTACCCAGAGTCATTTAGCTAGAAATAACTACTACTAACATTCTAGATGACCTCCAATTGTTTTGGTATAAATTTCATACATTTTTAAAAGAAGGTCACGCTATACTGGTATGTAACTTTATAGTCTTTTAACATACTATAAAGCATTTACCATTATTAAAATATGTTCATATATGATATTTATAACTGTATATCATGTAGATTTATGTATCATCATTTATGTAACCAATCTCTTGTTGGACATTTAGATTATTTCCAATTATAAATAATGCTACAAAGGAATCCTGAAATATGTACATATATCTCTACATAAATAACCCTTTTGTTATATAAAATCTATTAGTCTAGCACTTACTGCTAAATTCTAAAAATTGAGCAAAAAACTTTATATATTAAAACTTAAGGAATAATAGTAAATTAATTTTTAAAACCTGCCAACACTTCAATGACAAAAATCAGCTCTCCTTTCGATATAACATTTTGCAACCATTCAATAAAATCGCACATGGAGCACAATGCTTAAGCTGGCAAAAGTATTTAAAAAAAGGTGGCAAAAAAAGAAAAAAGTGGCAACTTCTTAGTTTGAGTTACCTCCAAAGCAGTGCCTGAGAAAAGAACTGAGATGCAACAATGAGGGGATAAGGTAGGGAAGAGGAAATGCCAATAAACTGTATGCTGTTGAGCTGATTAGTGCTAAAGGCCCAAGTTCAGAACCACCAGGGACTCTGTAAAACACATCACAGACTACCCCAGCCCCAGCCCTTACCAGGGAGAAGGCTGGGACACTCATCCACCAATTAATTCCATGTGGAAGAATGTTGCCCCAAGGGGGTATTGACTCCCCTATGCTCGTGCATGATGTCCGTGTACTAGCTGAGTCAGTTCCCAAGTAGAAAGCATTAAGGTTAAAAACAATAAATCCACACACACAGCAAGTGTTTAAGGTGGAACTATAACGATATGCAGAGAGACTGTTCATCCACTGCAGCTGAAATTAGAGTAAGCCAACCAGATGTGATTCTGGACACTAAAGGAAGGTGAATCCACAGCTATGCTATCCAATGCATGTTAAATTTCTGATTCACTCTACACAACCAACTCAATTCATCCAGTCTGATTTTGTCTAGGCAATGCTGCTCTAACAGCATATTAATCTGAGTCTAAATGTTGAGTCTACCATATTCAGTCATAACTTCCCCTTAATTGCTTCTTTAATGCCCTTTTAAATTTACATATGATTAACTTCACCAGTAGACCACAGCACCTCTAAGTACATAAGTTACAGCTGAATCCATCTCTTCCCAATGACCCGAGCCATTTTCCACAGTGTCTTCAACACAAGAAACACAAGAGAAGCTCACTAATTAACTCTAAGAGTCATGGCTAGATTCTCTACTTCCTTCTACATTTCAGTATTTGTGGGAATGTGTAAAGTACAGATGCTATGCTTTATCAAACTGACATGTGCATTAAAACTGAATATATTTGCTTCACTTAATATTGTTAAAAATACTAGATGCTCATTTTTTACAATTAATTATTTTTTTAAAGATTTTTATTTCTTTATTCATGAGACACAGAGAGAGAGAGACAGAGACATAGGCAGAGGGAGAAGCAGGCCCCCTGTGGGGAACCCAATGTGGGACTCAATCCCAGGATCCCGGGATCATGACCTGAGCCAAAGGCAGACGCTCAACTACTGAGCCACTCAGATGCCCTGGATGCATATGTAAAATTTTTTCAAATTACAGATTTGCAAAATGGAGATCAATTCATAAATTTCTCAAATGAAACAATCTTGAATGAAAATAAGCAAAAGAATAGTTCAATACAATAAATTCAAAATAAGATATTTTGTAGAGATGGGTTAAAATAGATAAGGAGAAAAACTTACTGCTTGGTTTCTCTTCACTGAAGCAATACAAATTAAGCACGTCATAGCCCCTGCTTGGAAAGCTTCATGTACATACTGTCTTGTTCGCTCTAATTCACGCATATCTCCATCTTGAAATTTAAAAATTGAAAACTTCATGTTAAGCAACAGCTGAAAATAACACAAATTCACCAATAGTGCCACATAAAGTGAGGACTGTAGCCATTATCAATTGTTCAAAATAGCTGAAAGACGAGAAGTTTAAAAAAAAAAAAAAAAAGGAACCAATGAGCTGCCAAGAGATCACAAAGTCCACACGTTAAATCTTATGTCCTTGATTCAAAAACAGCACATTGGCCCTCTCTGAGAATATACTTGCTCTTACTGCTGTTATAGTCCTTAACAAGTCCGGCGGGGCAGAGCCATAAGCGAGAGCAGTGAGATGTCAAGTAACAAGGAAAAGCATACCTAAGAGCAAAGTGAAAGAACCTGGAAAGTCAAACCTCAGCAGACGCAGTGAGCATACATATAAGTGGGTGTGTTGATACACAGCACATTCTTACCGAAAACTTGCTGAATGAAATAATCCTGAGTTTGTTACCCTATAATAACCTTGTTTCATTATTTCACGATTTTTGCTTAAAAAGGTATCATGAACTTTTTAGAAAATATCACAAAACTGTAATTTTCTGTAAGCAATTATTGAGCATTTATTTGCTAGGCACTGTATTTGTATTTCAGTGGGATTAAATGAGCTATTTTTATCTTTGTTTTACATAGAAAATGAGAAAACTGAGGCAAGAACAATTAAGTAACTTCAGTCTGACTGCAAAGTGAGCCATCTTAACCACAGTAGCAGCAAAAGGTTACTATAAGAAGATCCAAGAAATAACAAGTGACAGCAAAATGAAAGCCTAAAAAGCTACCCAAGAGCATGAGCCACCAAAAAGACAATAACCTGTCACTTTGGTGTAAGAGAAATAAACCTACATGCCTTGAGTGTGATAGATTCCATAATAGAGGAACTGAGTCTCCAAGAAAGTAGACTAATAGCGTAAGCTATCATGGCAATAAAAAGCTTCAAATCAAAATTTTAGTCATCAAAGAAAAAAAGTAAGACATTTGGCTAATTCTTTACCTTCTAAAATCACCTAAGTAAACAACACATACAACAACTTGGCTCTACATTAAATACACATAATTATAATTCAGGATATTAAAGAAAATATACATAAAATCACTCCCCAAACTATAAAGTATTATAAAATTACTAAAGACAATTGTTCATTTTTTTTAAAAAATTGAAGTTTAAAAGGTATTCTTAAAAGCAGACTTAATAATCATACTGTGTGCTTACTTTGCTCTTCAACATAGTTGGCTTTAACAAATATACAACTGACCCTTAAACAACTACACAGTCATAAATCCGTTTATGACTTTTGATTCCCTAAAACTTTACTAGTTAGTAGCCTACTGTTGACCAAAAGCCTAATAACAAAACAATTAACATATTTTATATGCTATATGTATCATATGCTATATTCTCACAATAAAGTAAGTTAGAGAGTAAGAAATGCTATCAACACCCAAAAAACAAATAATCCAGTTAAGAAACGGGCAGGAAATATGAATAGACACTTTTCCAAAGAAGACATCTAGGTGGCTAACACACACATGAAAAGATGCTCAACATCACCCATCATCAGGGAAATACAAATCAAAACCACAATGAGATACCATGTCATACCTGGGCTAAAATTAGCAACTCAAGAAACAAAAGATGTTGACGAGGATGCAGATAAAGGGGAATCCTCTTACACTGTTGGTGGGAATGCAAACTAGTGCAGCCACTCTGGAAACCAATATGGAGGTTCCTCCAAAAGGTAAAAATGGAACTACCCTATGACCCAGCAACTGCACTACTAGGTATTTACCCAAAGAATACAAAAATACAGATCCAAAGAGGCACATGCAACCCAATGTTTATAGCAGCATTATCAACAATAGCTAAACTAAGGAAGGGGCCAAATATCCAACTGGTGAATGGATAAGGAAGATGTGGGGTGTGTGTGTGTGTGTGTGTGTGTGTGTGTGTGTGTGTGTGTGTGTGTGTGTGTGTGTATAAAATGGGATATTACTCAGCCACCAAAAAGAATGAAATCTCGTCATTTGCAACAATGTGGACAGAGCTATGGAGTATTATGCTAAGCAAAATAAATCAGAAAAAGACAAATACCATATGATTTCATTCATATGTGGAATTTAAGAAACAAAACAGATGAACATATGGGAAGGGAAAAAAAAAGAGAAGCAAACCATAAGACACTCTTAACTAGAAAACAAACTGAGGGTTGATGGAAGGAGATGGGTGGGGGATGAGCTAGTAGATGGGTGATGGGTATTAAGGAGGTGCTGGCACTTGTTATGATGAGCACTCAGTGTTAGATGCAAGTGATGAATCATTGAATCTACTCCTGAAACCAGTACTGCAATATATGTTAACTAATCAGAACTTAAACATTTTAAACAAAAACAACAAAAAGGAATATTATCAAGAAAACAGTAAGAGAAAATGCATTTACTGTGCATATTTATTGAAAAAATACATATATAAGTGGACATGTATAGCTCAAACTCATGTTGCTCAAGGGTCAACTGTAGTACAAGATTTTAAATTTCACCTAATTTAAAAGCTAACATGTAAAATAGAATTTGAGAACATGACAGAATACGCTTTAACAAAACAAAGTCCAACTTTATAACATTTATTTAAGATTTCTTTGATAACTGTATTCAAGTTTGGTTGCAGGATTAAGTATACTGCCTAAGACGTCATGGTGGATACCCTGGCATCTGAAGTCACACATTTTAAAAAGATCACTCTGGCAACTGAAGAAAAATGAATCTATGAAGGCCAAGACTGAAAGCCTGAAGTACCAACTGAGAGGCAGTCATAGCAGATAAAGCAAAAAATTACTTTAAGCAAGTTAATCATTTCTGTCTCAGTTTCCTCATCTTTAAAATGGTAATAATAGCAATACTAATATCTACCTCATAGAGTTAATGTGGATTTAATCCACATATTAAACAGACATCAGGGACTAAATTAGGCAATAACAGTATGTGGGGAGAGGAAAGATGGAGTTAAGAAATTTAGGAAGTAAAACTCAGGAGGGCTTGGTGACAATTAGATCGTCCTGCCTTTAAAAGCCATGTTCATATCAATAAAGGAAAAAGTGCTGTGTTTAATGAGATGTCTAACATGGGCAGAGGGGAGAACGGTACTGGATGAGATATACTCATGTTTGTGCCATCATTGTACTCGGATTTCTGGGTTGGGTGGGGTGCTACTATTTGAGGTAAACAAAACAAGAAATAAGTTATCTTTCAACCTATGTTTGATGAGTCCATGGGCCAACAAGATAGGGACACCCATCAGGAAGTTGACCATGCAAGTCTGATATTTTAGAGAAGGGCCATGAAGGTACGTACAAAGACTGGGTTCAAACAAAAGAATAAACTTTTTGGGCAAAGTTCTGGTGTTTAATCCACTAATTTGAGATGGGAAACACCACACTAACCTAACATTTATTGTTCTTAAATCAAGTAATCAGATTTCCTTATTTTGATATAAGCAAAGTAGAGAACAAAAAGGAACAGGAGTCAAAATATTGATGGATTTGACAAAAAACATAAGAAAAATTGCCTTAACACTTTAAGCTGAGAGCCAGGCCAAAAATTAATAACTTATAAATGATAAATGTTTTCTTAAATAGTAGGAAGAAGTACTGTGACTGAGTTACAATCTGGAATTTCCTATTTAAAAATAAAACCCTATCTAAAATAGTTTAAGTGAGGTCCTCTTGAAGAAGGAAACTTCTTAAGGTTATACATTCTATAAAGTCCTTTAGAACCAAGAAACTTCCTAACCTTAAAGTAACTCTTGGATCAACTTACCTGATTAAGCCAGCTGATAAAGGTCACACTTTATCAATCTACCTGGCTGAGCCAGACTTCAAGCTTCCTAATCTCAATTCCTTAGCAGATATTAAATTCCTCAGAAAATCTATTTGAGAATGTGTGCCCATCTTCATGATGCCATCGGAATACTCAGGCTATTAACTAATACTGGTGATACAATGCAGGCATCTTTTCTAATAATGGCATTAAGTATGAAATGTAGAAAGTATTAAAATGTAAAATAATCTATTTTTATACTTAGTACCAAATCCTTCATAGCAACATCAATTTGGCCCTCTCACTCGTAAACAAATGTGGTAATGAGAGCAACCTAGATATGCACAACTTTTAATGTGACTGTACACATTAAACCAAAGAAGACTTAGTTTAAAAAGAAAAAGCATAAAGTCGGAAGTTGTATGATACAATATAAAGTAATAAATGAAATTGAGGTCAAAACACATTTAATATGATGAAAAACAAAGAAAAATGAAGAAGAGATTTAAGGGAGTCTTCAAAGTCGTCAAGCCCAACCAAATCAGAAGTGGGGACAATCTGACCCCACTCATTTCAGGGAGTTCTGATATCCCCCTCCCAAATCCTGATCAACTGCCTAATGAACTGCCTATGAGTGTGTATATATACGTATGTGTATATATGTAGGAGAACTTCTAAGGCTGCCAACTATAATGAACTGCCAACTATATATGTGTGTGTGTGTGTGTATGTATGTATATATATGTAGGAGAACTTCTAAGGCTATAAGGGACACTGCCATTCTCTCTGCTTTATGGGAAGATTAGTGTTCTCCATGTAACTCAAACAGTAAAATGCATAAAAATTCAACTCTACAATAAAAAAATGCTCACTCTTAAGATGCAGAAACTCTTCCATATAGACTAAAGGTGTTTTTTAAAAGTTAGGAATATATTTTCACGGATGTCAAAAAAAGTCAAAACTGAGGGGTGAGCTACAATGGCAGCAGAGGAGGAGTACTAGATAGTTAGCTAGTATTTGAGGGAATACTAGACAGTATTTGAGGGACTATAAGGTAACTATCAAATCATTCTCAATATCCCAGGAATCAACCTGAAGATTGACAGAATAAACTCCACTAGTAGAGAAAGAAGCCACAGTGAAGCAGCTAGGAAGTGTGGAGACAGAGAAAATG